TTCAAATTATATGTATGAACAAAGTATGGGGCGCACTTGTCCATGAATCTTAAATAAATATAATGAAAATTCCACACCAGTAATTTTCAACCAATCGAATTGTGTTTTTTTGAAAAATCACCATAGCAAAACGTATGTATTTTAGTGTAATTTTTTTTCTCCTGGGTACCCAAGAGCAAATTAAGTCGGAACTTTTGACGTTTCTACCACTTGTATTGTATAGTATAGTAACCTTAAGTTGACATAAAATGAAAAAATATAAAATGTTCCATTCTAAACTGGTAGAAATCAAGAAATTTGTAATCTATTAATTTATATTGGCGCAAACTGAATTTGTTCATGAATCAATTATATTGAACAAATATATTCTGAAATGTTTTAATTGTCAAACACAATCTGGTGTGATATTTTCGTACTGAATTCCACATGAGTTCAAGTTATTTTTTATAATGAATATTTTTTGAAAATTATTCCGAGTCGAGACGAAACTAATTTAAACTCTAGTGGTGGTACGTGAAAACAATATAATTTTTAACTGAATATTGCTATTCGTCCTCATACTATACTCCCTGAGTGATTTTGAATTACAAAGATCCTCGCATGATCTACAGAGGGGGGATGAACATAAATTAAGTCCTGATTTTTGTATAAACTACATCGTATAAGGTGCTCCATAACAAAAAAGATGTATATAGGTACTTATTGCATTATCACCTCTTGCTGTTGAAATCTCTAATTATAATACATGGTGTCCATTTCAAGTTACGCCAATATACAGCAGGGTGTCAATTTGAAAACTTCCCACTCTTAATATCTCCCTCCAAGTCGATAATATGGAAAAACGAAAAGACAGGTCGATTTTATTTTCGAGGAGGACATGGATCTAAAATATTTTCAGCCCCGCGGCGTTGCCGCTTCTAACGAAAAGAAGCAACAACTTTGTTATTTCAAATGGAACACCCTGTATTTTATTGCATTTTTAGATTCTCACTGAAAAGCTTATTTCATCAATGCATCACACTTGGGGTCTAGCAGGAATGATTACAGAGATATAGGGTGTTCAAAATCGAGATTTTACAACTTTAGGATTTTTTTGAGTCGAAACTATTCATTATTGGTCAAAACGGCTTTTATGTCCCTATCTCAACTTTTGATTTACTATCTACTGACATTTATTTGAAACAAATACAGGGTGATCAAAAGTCTGAATCTTGAACCACCCTGTATTTGTTTCAAATAAATGTCAGTAGATAGTAAATCAAAAGTTGAGATAGGGACATAAAAGCCGTTTTGACCAATAATGAATAGTTTCGACTCAAAAAAATCCTAAAGTTGTAAAATCTCGATTTTGAACACCCTATATCTCTGTAATCATTCCTGCTAGACCCCAAGTGTGATGCATTGATGAAATCAGCTTTTCAGTGAGAATCTAAAAATGCAATAAAATACAGGGTGTTCCATTTGAAATAACAAAGTTGTTGCTTCTTTTCGTTAGAAGCGGCAACGCCGCGGGGCTGAAAATATTTTAGATCCATGTCCTCCTCGAAAATAAAATCGACCTGTCTTTTCGTTTTTCCATATTATCGACTTGGAGGGAGATATTAAGGGTGGGAAGTTTTCAAATTGACACCCTGTATATTTTCTATTAATTCACATTTGGAAATATCAATTTTATTTTAATGCTAGACTGGATTAATATTTCAAATTATTTCTTAATTTATTATGTAGATTTCTGTCATGCATGACATTCTTCAAGAGTAGATAATTTCAATTTGTCGAAGTCTAGTCTAGATGTAATAACATTGATTTGAATAGTTTAGTTTGTATTTCATCCAACTATTGAAACATTATTTCTGCAATTCCGGCGCTGACAGCGCCTATTCATTTCTCATTTGGTTCGACCTAATATACAGTGTGTTCATTAAGTCATTTCCCCTTCCCCTTCAGTTATCTCCTGACCTACTATAGATTCCAGGGGCGTCGATAATGTTTTGTCTTGGGAGGGGGGGGGGGGTAGATGCTTTTTGGTTCAGGAGGTAATGAAAAACATGTTGTAGAATAATGACATTCAATGGAGTTAAAAACAAAAACAAGTCAAAAACAAAAAAGTACAAACGTCAATAAATAAATAACAAAATCAATGTTCTTTGGCAAGTAGGTACTAGAAACAATAATCAACTCCTTTGGACGAAACAAGTCACAAATAAAACAAACACAAAGTTCTTCAGTAAATGAATAACAAAATACTTTTTTTTTGGCAAGTCGGTCGGTACTAGCGAGACAAAAAGGATAAGGAACACTACTTCATTTACAAAATTAAATCTAAATGCCTCTTTTTGATTTTCGCAAACCTCTCTTGTACATCATCTAAATTCAAATCTATGTTCCTATGAATATGTAGCAATGCTAATGTCACTAATCTTTCTTGGCCCATTGTTGCCCAAAGTCACGTTTTCCACTTCCTATAAGGGTTGAAAAACTTCTTTCCGAGCTTGCTACATTCACAGGCATGACAGAAATTGAATATAGAGCTAGGTATACATTTAAATAAGTAGGTATCCTTAGCGTAAACCTGTAAAGCAGATGATGCCGAACTAGACAAATTTCCATCAGTGGCACCATCCCATTTTTCAAACCAAATGTCCAACTCAGTATTTAAGAGCGAGAGTTAATAGAGAAGCTTTACCTTCGTTCGCGAAATTTGAGAAATATTCTGCTTTGTTTTGTTTTATTGAGGAATAGTCCGCATATACAGTCTGTCCAAGATAAGGTTGAACAGCATGGGGATCTCGAAAACGGTATGAGATACGAAATCGGTTAAATGGGGAAAAAGTTGCGCATTCGGAGGCTCATATCAACAGCTTTCGAGAATTTTGAAAATTATTTTTAGTTTTTGAGTTATATCGAAAAAAGTGAATTTTTGGAATTTCTATTTTATTTTTTTTCTTCGTTATTATTAGAGATACAGCAAAACTGAGAATACTTTTTCATAGAAACTTTTGATGGCGGTCAATGTGGTGATACCGATTTTTTCATGCGACGTTTCGTATTCGTGGAACCATCATCAACTTTTGTTTTTTAAATACGGTCCTGATAATTTTTTCACAGATTCTAAAAGGTTTTTTTATTCTGAATTCAACCATGTATTATACAAGGTGGTTCATTTGTGTTTCGACCTATTTTTGGCTATCATCAATGTTTTTTCGAAACTCCAAAGGAAAAATGCCATCAGTTCCACTTATTTTGAAGGAAAATTAGTCGACACACTAATACCTCATCCACTGGTTTCAATCAACAACCCATTTCATTTTGCGGAAACAAAAATTCCATCCATACAAATTCAGAATATGTCAAGCGCTAAACCAGGCGATGACGAAAGGCGCAAGACATTCTGTGAGTGGTATACCAGGAAATGTTAAAATTTTGCAGAATTCTTTCGAACAATCATCTGGACTGATGAAAGCATGGTCACTAATCATGGTAGCTTCGATAGAAAAAATACACATTATTGTTCACGAGAAAATGAACATTTATACATTACAGCGAGACACCAACACCGTTTCGGCTTCAATATGTGGGTTGCAATATTTGGTACACGAATTATTGTTCCTTCTATTTACCATGAAACACAGACTTCCGAACGTTATAGAAATTCGCTTGAGAATCATCTTGAGGCAGCTCTGGATGATTTACCGATTGCGGAAGTTCAGAACTGCTGGTTTCAACAAGATGGCGCTCCGGTACATAATTCCAGAGAAGTCCGTGCGTTTTTATCCCTTGGCCGGCGCGATCGCCTGATTTGACACAGCTGGATTTTTTCTTAGGGGATATATCGAACTTTGTACACGCAAATAACTTTGATGATGAAGAAGAACTAAGGGACAGTGTCTTCGAAGCATTCAATAGAATAACCCCAGAAATGCTTAGCAATGTCTTAGTAGCAACTGTGAGAAGAGGATATCTTTGTCCAGAAAATAATGGTTATCATTTTGAACATTTGTTATGAATGTCTCTGTAGGTATTGTCAAAGTTAAGTTGTTGAAGTAATTCGTGTAAGAATTCATCAACAATTTTAAACGCTGCATTGATCGAATGATGTAGTGAAATATTTTTTATTCACTTTTCAGTATTGAATAACAAATCCATCAAGTTTGACACTAAATGATCAGAAATAAGTGGAACTGATGGCTTTTTTCTTTTGGAAGTTCGAAAAAACATTGATGATGGATAGAAATAGGTCGAAACACATTCGAATCACCTTGTATAGTACATTGATGAATTCAGAATAAAAAAACCTTTCAGAATCTGTGAAAAAATTATCAGGACCGTATTTAAGAAACAAAAGTTGATGATGGTTCCACGAATACGAAACGTCGCAAAAAAAATCGGTATCACCACGTTAAACCTCATCAAAAGTTGCAATGAAAAAGTATTTTCAGTTTTTCTGTATCTCTGATAATAACGGAGAAAAAAAATAAAATAGAAATTCCAAAAATTCACTTCTTTCGATATAACTCAAAAACTAAAAATAATTTTCAAAATTTCCGAAGGCTCTTGATATGAGCCTCCGAATGCGCAACTTTTTCCCCATTTAAGCGACTTCGTATCTCCTACCGTTTCCGAGATCCCCATGCTGTTCAACCTTATCTTGGACAGACTGTATACAGCTATATCGGACTTGCGTTAGTTAATTATTAAATTTAATGAAAAAATATGATAGTTTACTGTATTCATCAAAGTTGTTGTGGGGGGAAGGGTAACTAATCGACGCCATTGCTAGATTCTTTCGTGTTGAGCTCCTAAGAAATATTCAGAAATTGAGATGCGGTGGTGACTTAATGGACAAAATGTATACTTATCATCATGTTTGACATAATTTTTTGTATCTGTGACCGTTCCTCTGTCTGTACTTCTTTCCGCTTTCTTGGAAACATTGTTTCGACACGAAAACACAACACACACACCCTCATCTATCTCACCGCATTTCGATTGATTGAAAGAACGTTCATCTACAACCGAGAGCCTCGACGACGACTGAACACTTTACCCCATCACGAAGACTCAGCCGCTTGTTGTGAAAAATATGTGAGTGTTTCATTAGATATTTATACTCGTTTGTGTACAGAATGATACCACATATTATTACACTATTGAATGGGGAATAGTTATTTGTTTAACTAGGCAGCAAAGTAGTAGATTGACTGCCGAGGCTGAATTCATAGCCGAGCGTAGCGAGGCTAGGAATCCAGCTAAGGCAGTCAATCTACTTTGCTGCCGAGTTGAACATATAATTTTTTCTCCGATTGTTCATAATGATATAGGAAGATATTGTAATTGCAAATTATTACAATTCCCACAATCTCTTTATTTTTCCTGTACTGTTCAATTAAAATGAAATTTGATAAAAATCGCAGTTGTCCATGATAATTATCGTTTGACAATTCATGAAAATTCTGACAAAAAATATCGGTATATTTAAATTATTATACAAGGTGATTCTAAAATAGGTGGTCAAACTTTGGGAGCATATAGAGTGGGTGAAATAGTTATGAAAACCTCCGTAACATTTTTTTTCTGAAGTGACCCCCAAGAAAGATACAGCCCCTCAAAGGGGGGCCTCGGAGAATGATTTTGTATTATTATCTCCAACACCTTGTATAATGAAAATCTGAAATTTTGTCCATCCACTAACTATTCAGTGCCGGTTCGAATGGAGTTGAAATCACCTCGAAATTAAATACAGGGGTGTGTCAAAATAGGGAGGTAGGGGGTAAAAATAACCCCAACTTTTTTGTTCATCGCAATTTCAGTTTTTTGACATGAAATTATGAAATCTCAGGGCTATTTACATAGAAAAGGTGCTCTTGTTGCATCTCGATAAAATGAACTATTAGCGAATAAAATTTATTTTTTCAAGAATCCATTTAAATTGCGATTTTGGTATGTACTCAAGTTTAATTTAATTTAATTTTTTATTATAATAGTTAAAATAACAAAAGCTTGATTTGAAGAATATTTTTCATTTTAGTATTTTCAATAGGATCAGACCATAATCACGAAACTCGACGTTTATTTTTAATTCATGAATTCCGACAACGAATTCGAAATTTCCAACCCCAAAAACCCCTCACAAACCAATTTTGAATCGAATCGGACCATAATCACAAATCTGGTCAGCCACATTGGAGCCGCCATATTTTTTTCTATCAAAAAGTCCATAACGCGTTGTCAACTGTCATCTGCCAGATTTCAATTTGATCAGACGATTAGAAGTAGGTAAAAATTCAGTTGCAAGATTTGAACTAGATCATTAAACTTGAGTGCATATACCGAAATTGCGATTTAAATGAAATCTTGGAAAAATAAATTTCATTCGCTAATAATTGTTCATTGAATTCAGATTCAATAAGAGCTCCTTTTCTATGTTAATAGCCCTGAGATTTCATAATTTCATATAAAAAAACTGAAATTGCGATGAAAAAAAAAAGTTGGGGTTATTTTTACCTCCTACCTCTCTATTTTGACACACCCCTGTATTTAATTTTGAGGTGATTTCAACTCTATTCGACCGGCACTGAATAGTTAGTGGATAAACAAAATTTCAGATTTTCATCATACAAGGAGATAATAATACAAAATCATTCTCCGAGGTCCCCCTTTGAGGGGCCGTATCTTTCGTGGGGGTCACTTCAAAAAAAAATGTTACAGAGGTTTTCGTAACTATTTCACTCACTCTATATACTCCCAAAGTTCGACCACCTATTTTAGAATCACCTTGTATAATGGACAGTGATAGCGACCTGGAAGTACTTACACCTCCAGAAATAAGGGAGGTGGCAAAAAATATAGAGTTGAATTTGTTGCCGGAGAAGTCTCGAATGAAATATGAAGGAAATTACGAGGGAAATTATAAACGATTCATGGATTATTAATTTTGCTGATACATATCAATCAGCAAAGTAACCACTTTGCTGCCTAGGCAGGAAAAGTAATACTTTGCTGATTGATATGTGTCAGCAAAATTAATATTTGCTGCCAATCGGAGAAAAATATAATTTGCTGACCAAAAATTTTAAAGTATGCTGATCAAGCATTTCTGATCCGATTTTTTTTTCAAATTGCATATTTGAATATTCTATATGGATATATAAATGCCACCAGTAAAATAATTCCTATCCACGCCTTCAGAGGGGTAGTTTATTCTTGCAGTTTTTCAAAAACCATTGCTGACCGAGCATTTCTGGTTCGTATTTTTCCATCAAACATATTTGGGTATCTCATATGGATTTATAGATGCCACCAGTGGGATTATTTCGATCCACTCCTTCAGAGGGTGATTTGATTGAAAAATACAGATCAGAAATCAGCAAGGATTTTCCAAAAACAGCATGAATGAACTACCCCTCTGAATGGGTGGATCGAAATAATTCCACTATAGTGGCATCTCTATATCTACAGGGTGTTTCAAAAAAACTTAACTCCCTTGCTAGGGTAGGTGTGGTAGAACATTGCAAAATGAGTTGGGTTTGCTCAGTAAAAAAATGTCGTAACGCCATCCGTTTTCAAGAAACAAGGTGTTGAAACAATATTTCTTTAACACATTTTTTACGATTATGTTGAAACTACTGGCAACATCGTGATGAAATTTTGTATGGATGTTTCTTGAAATTCGACACATCGCATGAATTCGTTTTCATATCTGACTCTCATAGAGGGCCCTAGTTACACGGTTCGTACCGAGTAGTTTTGAACATAACTTTTTTGAGGTTAGATTTTTCAATCAAAATTTAATGTGACCTTGAACATCATTCGATTCCACACCAAAAAGGTAACCGTGGTAAAACTTGATACTGTGTTCCGTATTTGGAATATTTCGATTTGAAAATGATGAAGTGGTAACTGTTGCTGGTATAAAGCTATGTATTAGAGTGAGTATTATAAAAAATCATCACCTATTTATTGAAAACCGAAAACAACGAAACATTTCTGATGCTGAACTTATTGATTCACAAGAATATAATCGAAACATATTTGACTAAGAACATGGATTACACAGTTTTGTTGTATATTGAGCAGAAAGTCAATGCTACATAGGTAAATTCACGTCAAGAGTTGTGAGACACAATTGAACTTCACTCAAATGACCTAACAGCTGAACCTCAACTGTTCAGAAGAATAATTCATCTTTAAAAAAAGAATATAGAATCGTGTATTCCTCGAAACGTAGGATATTTTGAACACTTACTCTAACTGATTCAATATCTCATGTTTCTAGTCAAATATCTCTTAATTTTCTACTTATGAGTCTTTATTCCATCAATAACTTCAGCACAAGGATAATGTTAATGTTTTCGAACCTGAATAAATAGGTAATTGAACTCAATGAAATTCTTTTAGATGTATGACAAACTGACATTTATCATACAGGGCGTGGAAAGAAATTCTGAATTGAGAAAAACCCAATCACGAATCTGCGATTGAAGGTCTATAAAAATAACAAGTTTCCATCGTTCAAGTTTGAACCCCTTGATTGGGTATGAAAGTATTGAAAAGGAATATTCTCAGATATATTATAAACATGAAAAAATGGATACATTTTATGCTCAAATTCTTATCGTGTATGTTCAATTGATATAATTCAATGTTCGTCGTGGCATATAGCCAGGAAAGTAGTTGTTTTCTGTTTAATATGCCGAGAAAGGATTAATAATTTCATCACATAGAGAATGCGAATTCTCAATGTATTTATTCAAATGTATCCATTTTTTCATGTTTATAATATATCTGAGAATATTCCTTTTCAATACATTCAATGAAATTCATTTTATACCAGCATCATTACTACTCCATTATTTTCAAATCGAATTATTCCGAAAACGGAACATAGTATCGAGTTCCACCAAGAGTACCTTTTTGGTGTAAAATTGAATGATGTTCAAGTTCATATCATATTTGGATTGAAAAATCTAACCTCAAAAAAGTTATGTTCAAAACTACTCGGTACGAACCGTGTAACTAGCGCCCTCTATGAGGGTCAGATATAAAAACAAATTCATACGATGTGTCAGATTTCAAGAAACATCCATACAAAGTTTCATTACAATGTTGCCAGTAGTTTCGGAATAATCGTGAGAAATGTGTAAAAAAATAATTTTTTCAACACCTTGTATCATGAAAACGGATGCCGTTAGGACATTTTTTCACTGAGCAAACTCAAATTATTTTGCAATGTTCTACCTACCCTAGCAAGGGGGTTAGGTTTTTTTGAAACACCCTGTATATGAGATATTCAAATATGTGATTTAATGGAAAAATACGAAGCCGAAATGCTCGGTCAGCAAGGATTTTTGAAAAAGTGCAAGAAACTACCCCTCTGAAAGGGTGGATCGAAATAATTGCACTGGTGGCATCTATATATCTATATAAGATATTCAAATATGCAATTTGAAAAAAAAATGGAATCTGAAATGCTCGGTCAGCATAATTTAATTTTGGTCAGCAAATTATACACCCCCCTATCGAATTATACAGAGTTGATCAAATGTAACGAACCATCCATATAACGATATATCTCAGTAACCAGTCGTTAGATCTTCCTGAATTTTTGTACGTGGTGAATTGGAAATGTGTCGGTTCGAAAAATTATATCGCCAATATTGGCACGTTCTCAATTTTTCCGCGCTACGTCTCGTTAAAAAAATCAATTCTCGATCACCAAAAGTAGCACTTCGCGCACTAGATTCAAAAATAATTATTGCTATTATATTTTATTTTCTGAATTCACGCGTCGTTTTTTTTTTATTTCGATTATGGTAAAAAGAGTTGTGTCAATCTGTACCTAACATATAGTAAATTTTGTTGTAGAATAAGCACAACATGCTAATAGTATATGCCATTGACTGTAGATACCATAGACCTACGGAACAACACCTCTATGGGACCTACGTGGAGAAATACATTCCAAAATATTCATTGTCTATTTTCGGTTTTCATACACATATAGTACATACACAGAGAAGTGCACAGAAAACGGACAGAGCTGTAAATTCTGAATCATTCGAAATTTCGTGATCGGATTTTGAAAATTGGTGGGTAGCAAGTATACCAAATTGCTCATTAATTGACAAAACTATTTCAGGTACTGAAGTCTAGCCATAGCACCATAACGAGGTAATATTGCGCGTCGCTCGCTGCTCGCTGGGCGCCTCCATAGTGTTTTTTCGATTAATTACTTCGACAAAAAAAAATGAAAAAAAGATTAGTTGGAGTAGGGATCGAACCCCGGTCTTTTGGTTCGAAGGGAGGAATACTACTCTAATAATGACCACCACGCTTCTGGCAAAATAAACTACAAAACAATAATTGTATACGCTCTTGCCATGGCTTGCCACCGTGGCAATATTTCCCGTATAGTGGTGCTATAGCTAGGCTCTAATAACTATTTCTGTTCTATCACTTCCGGTTTCACCGGAAACGACCCCAAATTTTAAATTTTTAATGGGACTCCCCTATTTTATTCCATAATCCGTAACGAAGTATCATGAAGAATTCAACGATGTTTGATAAGGTTATTCCAAACAAAGTTTCCATATGCTCAATGTTCTTCCTTTGTCACACTCAATGAGCATACAGGGTGTAATTTAATTGATGGCTGAAAATACAGAATATGGTTCCTCTGCTCATTTTCATAAAAAAAGTTCATTTATGATCCTAAACCTCTCAACTTTCGAGCTATAAGGTGTTAAAATGTTAAGATACAATTAATTTTCTTATCATAACTTCAATTACTGTCCTAGATATTTTCAGGAAATTCAACTGCACCAACTAAGCACCAGTATGCATTTTTTGATGTAGGATATTTCTTAATATTTCTACCAGTGGCGTCCGTATGGGATGTATACTGGAGATTTTTCTAAAAAAATGTGGTACGCCCTTACTTCGAAAATAAAAATAATTTTTGAAATCCTAATTCATTTTGCAACAATTTGATTTCTTGTATGAAAACCCTTTTTGGCTAATTCAATCAATTGGCTTCATTTGAATAGAGTTTGGACAAAAACACAACTTATACCTTCAAACTACAGCATGGTTAAGTTTCATGAGAAAATCTAGAACAGTATTGAAGTGATAAGAAAACTATTTTTTTCTCACCCCTTAGCGCGAAAGTTAATAGATTCAGGGCATATATCCATATGAACTTTTTTTAAAATGAGCTAAGGAACCATAATATCCTATATTTTTAGCCATCAATTAAATTACACCCTGTGTAAGGCTACTTTCAAGCGTATATATCTTCGTGATCGTTTGAAATAACCCTATCAAACCCATTATCGTTGAATTCGTTATGATAATACCTAACCGATTAGATAGTAAAATGCAGGGTGTCTCATTTAAAAATCAAAAGTTCGGGTTGTTTCCGGTGATACCAGAAGTAATAGAACAAACATTTTTTTGTCAATTGATGAGCAATTCGGTATACTTACCACTCACCGCAATTTTTGAAATCCAATATCGAATGATTTAGAAGTTACAGCATTGTCCATTTCTTGTGCACTTCTTTGTATACTCCCCGGCAAAAGAAGCCGATCAGAAGAAAATTCAACCAATTTTTCCATGTATTATGTTCAATCCATCAGCTTTCGTTATGAACTGAAATTGAGGATATCATTGTGAAAAACGAATCTACAATTTGGTCTAAATTTCACCAGGAGTGGAGAAAAATTGAAAAAGTTACAGGACTTTTAAGGACAATCAATTTGGCTAATTTTTTTTCTGGTCCGTTTTATTTGCCGCTGATTGTTTTATATTATTCCTGCATGATTTTGATATTCAAATATCATATATACTGGTACAATACTAAAACTTACATTAACTTGCCTTTTGTGTTAGCGAAACATGTCCTCTGTGATTGAGATAAAAATAACCATTGTGTCTATAAAATTTTTTTTTGTTTTCATCGAGGTATCAAGGAACAATCGAACATTTATAATAATCATGAAAATCGTTCCTCTGTTATTCAGATGGAGCAGAAGGCGAAGCCGACCGAGATCGAGCCCCCTCAACGCCCACATGATCGACTACAGGACGGGGTATATAAGATCGCATCTGCGCTCGCCGTCGGGAAGGGTGCGGTGACCTAGACAGGGCCCTGTGGCACTACGACGTTCGAGAACTTCCCTCTAGAAACGTACGACGAGCGCTACCAACCGTTTCGGTGGCCATTTTGTGTGGAAGGCACTCGAGATGGCCGCGGAAATTATAATCAGTTCTACCAACCTTGGGCCGCGGTGGGGTCAACGCCATCTGTTGAGCGGTAGTCGTAGCCTGCTTGTTTCTTGGTTACGTCATCGTAACCGTAGACACTTTTTTTCAGATGATGATAGTTGACTAATTCTAGGTCGATATAAGTTGTTTATTACTGTCGAGATTGAATGATTGACATGAGATAGGGCCACACCTCATTTCTTATTGTTGTTTTTATCCCACACGGTAGCCTTTATCATAACTAGACATAATCAAACGTGAACGAATAACGTTGTGTTGAATAATAAAGAAACTAATCAACGTGTTTTTTTTTCTATAAATGTATAGATCATCCAAACACTGACACTATCTAGACCGCTAGTGGTCATATCTCAGCAACCAAAACGCTTCTGATCAATGCGCTGGAACCCTCAAACTGCCGTTATTCATGACAGCGAGTCATTTGTTTTGGTGTTCGGAAACATGAGCAAGAGTAAATAAGATATATGACAGGTCCTATAAATGCAGAGGATTCAACTTCACCTGTTCGATCTGTGGCTCATACCTTCTTTCTTGTGGGATAAGCGAGCTATGTTGTATGTATGTACAGTATGTCGGTGCATCAAATGGAATGCCCGAGCGCTACAATCCGTTTCGGTGGCCATTTTGTTGTGGAAGGCCGCGCTACACTCGTGGTGGCCTGCCGCAGGGTAGGGGCTAGCGCCATCTGTCGGGCGGTAGTCGTAGCCCTCTTTTATCTTGGTTACGTACTACGTCAAATATGGTCCAGGTTTCTTATCAAATTCCTGTTTGATTTAAAACCTATACTACTATAATTTCGGCTTCCGGCTGCTGAAGTTTTAGCCAGCCTGCTAATACGAGAAACAAAATCTTAGGAATACTTTCCTAGTCTTAATTGAGTGGCTATATTCCGAATTCATCTGGTCAGTACTGCAGTACTGTCAGTAGATCCACTGGCTGCTGAAGATCTGTGTTCCGAAATATGAAATGAAAAATACAGTGCTCTAATTCGGAACAAGTTTTCATCAGTAACTGTCGGTAATCAACAGCAGTTGATCAGCTGGTGGAATTTATCAGTTGTCATCAGTTTCTCGTTTATCTGGCCAATTATACAGACATTTTCTGATTTTTAATTATTTCGGAATGAAAAATCAGCAGATTCAGTACTGTCAGTTGAATTTGGAATATAGCCTATATCTGTAACTTTCAGTGATTCAGTGAATCACGTATTTCACTTTTGAACAGATGCGCATTCTCGCTGGAAAACTGAATTATTGGTGGTGGAAAGTCAGATATGAAAAGAGAAATTATAGTTGAAAGTCTAGATTAGTACGCCAACGCCAATAAATACAGTGTACTGATGCTATTAGTGGTCCAGGGTGCATCTCGCTGGTCAAAAGTCTGTCTACACAGCAGTTTTCAACACGAATTTCAACATTTCACGTGTTGGGAAACTTTTGTTGAGAAATTTGACTCTTCAGCTACGAGTCCGGCAGTCGGGGTTGTATACACATCCAAATATTTATACGACATTGACACTTATGACATCAAATCCACACATAACCTAACTTATTTATCCGACTGATATCGGTAATGTACGCTAGAGGAGTTTTTCGGTAATTAGTTACTTATAATCAGAATAATAGAATAATCAGTGTCTTGATACAATGAATAAAATGATGTATTTAATTCCTTTGTCATGGGTTTTCATGATATGCTCAGTTCGTTCCCATGAAGAAGATGTACATACAATCAAATATACTGTAGATAATTTTGGCCAAGAAATCGCCAAGAAAAACCACTTCGTCATGTTTTATGCTCCTTGGTAAGTGATAATATAGATAGAGACAATATATTTCGTCCAAGATTAAAGATTTATGCTCTATTGTTCATTTCAAGATGTATAATGATTTAGAGTATAAAAATATTTTGAATTTGAGGTGTGGACATTGCCAAAAGTTTGCCCCAAAATGGGAACAGCTAGCAGAAATGCTGAATGATGATGAAGGCAATAACATCAAAATTGCAAAAGTCGATTGTACTACAGACAGTGATGTATGCTCAGAACAAGACATCACTGGTTATCCAACACTGAAATTTTACAAGGTAGGAGACTCTGAAGGTGTCAAATTCAGGGGCACAAGAGATCTCCCTACCATCACAAATTTCATCAATGAACAACTCCGTGAAGTAAGTTCATAATCCTGATTTTGGGTGGATGGAAATACAAAATGTTTTTGCTCAGGGTGAAGAGGAACCTGGTGATGTTAATGTTGTTCAATCATCAGGAGGTTTGAGTGAACTCACTGAGGATAATTTTGACCAGCACACCCAGAATGGAAAACATTTCATCAAATTTTATGCTCCTTGGTGTGGACATTGCCAGGTAAAATGGAATTTTGACTTCTATTAAACATCATGTTAACATTCTCTCACTACAAAATGTTTGCTGTAGTAGATGTTTTCTCCAATTTTCTACCTTTAGGTTTTCCTCAATCCTTGTCCAATATTTTCCAGAAATTTTAGCCATATTTGAACACTCCATAAGAAAAAATAAGGTAAGTGCTTTCCTGAAAGATCTATAGGATAAGAAATTATAGGAATGATTATCATTTTTTTTCATTTGTTCAATTCTTGTTTCAGCTCTTGAGATTCTCTTTCCAGGATGAAAAATATGTATTTTCCTGGGAACTCTCAGATCTTTTTTGATAAAATACTACATAATTTCTTATGGTTCTGCTTGTTTATTTTAAAATCCTCATTTCTGATTCCCTGTTATATATTCTCTAGGTTGATTTCTGTGAAATCAAGAACTTTCCTACATATTCAAATTGAAACATATAATAGGAATTTTGGTTTTTGAAATTTGTTGCTATAATATTTCAAATCTAAGAATAATTTGAAAGTTCAAAATGATGGAAAACAAACAAACTATCAGATTCTACAGAATTGATTTGGTGTTCATGAATTCATTGTTTGAACATTTTACCTGTCTGACCAATATAATACCCTTGACAACATCCACTGTTCAGTTTGTACAATGATTAAGGAGCTTAATAATTCTTCAAGTATTTCTTTAAGTTTGGTCATGTTTGGTTCATTAACAGATGAAGCTATATTTTCTGTTGATGATCTATAATAAGTTGAGTTCTATAATCTTGATTATTGTTTCTGATGGTAAGATGAACTTCTTGAATTACTTTACTTGTTCTCTTAGTAGGTGCTATTTAAAATAAATCTTTTCAAGTTAATTCATCACAAATATTGTGCATATATTGATAAAGGATTAGCTAGCCTGCTCTGCTCACAGGTTATTTTAATCCTTCAGGTTTGTAAGAATATTGGAGTTGAGTAGGCTTATTACTTGTATTTAACTTGAATACGGGTGTGAAAGCAGCAACTGTTTTTCTGGCAACTGTTTTTCCAGTTCACTTATATGGTATATGAAGGAAGACTTTTTCTATTGCTGAATTTTTTTATGCGAGTCCACTAATCTGAAGGAGTTGAAGAAGACTTCTAACAGTAAAATAATTTGTGATTTTCAAACCACCCCATATACCCCACAAAACAAAAAAAAAACTATGAGAACAGTTGGGAAATCTCTTGATCGAGATTTTATTATGTGAATCAATAATTTTACAAAGATCAAACACCCTCCATACAATGAAATGATTTGTGAACCAAAAACTAAGGGGTAGTTCAACCCTCCGGACTACAAAAATCTAAATTCTGTTGAAATTTCCGAAAAACTACCCCTCCACAACTCCTGCTGAATACGCTCTATGGAGTGAAATAATTCGTGAACGAAAAACTACCCCTCCACAATTCTCGGAAATAAAAAAATCACAAATAGTTGGAATTCCCGTTGCATGAGAGTTTATTGTGGAAATGGGTTATTCTAGACCTGCTGAATACGCTCTATGGGGTGAAATAATGAATTATTGGCATTCAATCACTCCACTGTGTCCTTAGGAACCTAATTTGATTTCTGCAACACTTTACACGCTTTTTTATGTAAATAATTGGTCTATGCGTTGTTCAAAATTGTTGAATTTCAGAGCTCATTTCAAACGAACCTCCATGGCCGCCATTTGGCGATACGTCGAATAAATTGTGACGTCAGTTTTTATGCTGTTTCGTTATTGGTCAGATAATATTCCATTACCACTCAGTGGCGTGTTTAAGGGGGGGGGGGGGGGGCAGATGGCCCACCCAAAGCAGGCTACACTCGAATAAAAAAACACGAAAATGTCGGTTCATCCAGTCTTATTTAATATTTATAGAAATCGACCATTTAATTATTAATATATGATATATGATTGTTCTATGCTACACGGTGTGAATATTTTATGCATTGAAAAACTCGTCGAATCGTTAGTTCATACCTGAAGAGGATCCACGAATAGTTGAGAAAAAGAATATTATTCTCTTCGCCCGCCAGGCGGCCTGACCGGCAGGCGGCGATCGTGTTTCCGTTTCCGTCCATATAATCGGTGGCGATCACGTGGCTGTCAAATGATCAGCGTTTACTGTTCAGAGTTGTCAGTTAGTTGTAGACTGTTGAGTCGCTGAGTTAGGTAGTTGGTGGCGGTGGTAACTTTGCATGAGTAATCTCTAGTCATGTCAAAACAAGAACTAGGAGCTGAAATAATAATGTGGCAAAAAGATGGGCAAATAAACCAGATTTTCCTTCTACAGCAATCGAAGCACTTTGTTTTGGGGCGAGTTTGTTCCCTGCAATAAAGATTTTACTGCAAATATTTGTGACTCTACATGTATCAACGGCAACAGCGGAAAGGAGTTTTCCAACGATAAAGCACTTGAAAACCCACTTAAGGTCAACCATGGGTTTGAATGGTCTAACTCTACTTAATATTCACAAAGAAGTGAATAATGAAAATGTAATGAATAGATTCGCCACAAGTAAAGCCAGACGAATGAGCCTCGAAGACTGGCCAGGTTGAAATAATTGATCTGAAAAAAATTTATAAGTATGTTATTTTCCATGTTTGTTCATTGCTTAGCCAAAACAAAAAAGAATGGTTGTTCTGGTGTTGTTTCGTTCAATTATATTGGTCAATGTATCACGACAAATTTTGGCAACATTTTTTATTTTTGCCTCGGCCCCCCCCCTAAAGCGAGATTCTAAACACGCCACTGTTTCCACTCATGAAGCAAGGTTGTCGAGTCACCAATTATAATCAAGTAATCAAAAATATATTAGAGTCCTGTCGTTGAATAAAACATAATAGGAGGAACCCATGATATAATAGTTCATTCTTGATTTTTTCGAGCAACCAACATGTCCAAATATTTCTTATTCTCCATATCATGTAAATGTTGGAGACTCGGCAACATTGTGCTGAATGCTGATGGCGAGTTCACATGCCAGCTTATGCCTACAGCAGAAAGTTTGAATAAAACGGGCGCACTGTTCACATGAAAAAGTTGGAAAAGTGACAGTGACTGCCACATATTTGGTTAAATTTCAGATGTACGTCCTCCAGAAACCACATTTATCACATTTTTAGGAGTGTTTTTCCAGTACTGTTTTCCACACTGCATAATATGATGATATAGCACCAATATGTATTCATTTTGTCAATAATTGTGTGGTTCTGTCAAACGATCTGAGCTTTTTTCCGCAAAAGTCGGAATGAAACCGAGACTTTCTAGCTTATGACCTCGATAAGCGCTTTCTGACGAATCGGCCAATGAGATGAGGATACGCTGTAAGTCAAAAGGCGAAAAGCCAGCATGTGAACGCGCCATGAGAAGTGACAAGACCACGCCCATTAGTCATGCGCCGTTTTGTCACGTTCACCCATTCAAATGTCCTCTAGTGTGAATAAATATAGTTATTGATTACATAAATTCGATCATTATAAGCAATAAGCCACAAATCAAGAGATTTTGAGACCATTGAATTTTCATTGCCAGGGTTGTTTTGTTTTAAACATTTTGTTGTAAGTAATCAACTGTTTTAAACATGTTTTAAACATGTGCTCAAGATGTTTAAAACACTTATATTATTAAACAAGCGTTTTTTTTTCATTTGCTTTATTATTATAATGAATGAAAATAGGAAAAATTCTGAGATACATTACACAAACTTTTTAACATACGTACATAATACATATTAATTATCTATTCATTAATAATAGGAATTAGGAACATAAGAAAAATTGGAAAATTTAAAACATTTCGCATACAAGCGTTCACAAATTTCTCACACTCTTTCAATCTCATAATCATCAATCTCATCAGTCACGTCATCGTCATCATTGATCGAATTAAGTTCTTTGAAAATTGAAACCAACTTAGCCACTTTGACATTGCCTAGCCGATTACGTAGTTTTGAATGGACTAAACCGTATGATGAGAAGAGTCTTTCTATGTTGGCTGACGATGCAATAGCTGTATGAAGCTGTTGAGCAAGTTCCATTGATGTCATATTTATATTGTTCATAGAACGCCACCATGCTAATGGTTTTACTTTTGAATTCTAATTTTCAATCAGATGTTTAGAAAACATATATTGTTTAAAGGGTGCACACTTTGCCTGGTAATTAATAATAATTGGCAATGCTTCTGGATGATAGGTTTCTACATATTCCATGCCAGTTCCTATTTGCTCTTGACTGAGTTTATTTCCTCTGAAGCGAATTTGCCAAAAAATGAGCTGGGGTTAAAGCCATTTCCATACGTTCCTTCACTTGATTCGTATCACTTACCGAACATTCTCCATTTGCTTATTGTCTCGAATGCTTCTAAAAGTTCTAGCCATATCTCTGTAGCCTCTCCTATAGTTTAAGTGTTTCTTTGGACTTTGTCCAAAGCAACTATACGATATACTTCAATTTTTTCAAATAGTCTTGGGCATTTGACTTTAAATTGGTGTCGTTTACAAGCTTTATTATATCCTTATAACCTATTATTAAGTGGACTAATACTAAAGATTATTATATCAAACATTTTGAATTAATCTCTGAATTAATATTATATTTGAAAAAATTTGATTTGAACAATCTCTTTTTCCAAGTTTTATTTGTTTAAATCATAAAATTCAGAAGCAAAAAAAAAACAATGTTTAAAACAAAAAAAACCGTTTAAAACAAAAAAAAACATGTGTTTTGTATAAAATTTAAAAATACATGTTTTTTTTCAACCCTGTTCATTGCTAATTAGGAATATCACCAATTCTCAATTGAGAATTTATGAGTTATTGAAAAACTAATATTTATGAAGGTTTTAGCACCCAAAAATCGATCGAAAAATTCGTAAAAAATATGAAATTCAAAGGTATTTGAGTGATGATCTATTTAGGAAATAAAAAGAAAATAGTCCACTCGCCGGAGAAATAAGATCAAAATAGAATTGAAAACATGTGAAATTCGATTGGTTCTTTTAGAAACTAGCTCCAACCTGGGAACAGTTAGCCAACTCTCTAGAATTCCAAACAGATGTGAGCATAGCCAAAGTAGATTGTACTCAGCACAGGACAGTATGCAACAATTTCGAGGTCAAAGGATACCCAACCCTGTTATGGATCGAAAATGGAAAGAGGGTAAACATAAATAAACCCACAGACACCCCGACCATCCCAGTCACCCTCATTTTTCTCGCAGGTAGACAAATTCCAAGGTGAAAGAAGCCACGATAACCTCAAAGAATACGTGAACAAGATGCTCGGCACGAAAAAAGAAGCTCAAGATCTGGATCGTTCTGAAACGGTCGATGTGGTGATAGGAGAGTTGACTGGCGACAGTTTCAAGTCTGGCATCCAGACTGGCATCACTTTCGTCAAATTTTTCGCGCCTTGGTGTGGCCATTGCAAACGTCTTTCACCGACCTGGGACAATCTTAGAGAGAAGTTTTCTGCCAGACGGGACGTCAGCATAGGTAAACAGTTTTTAATAATAATGATAATAATAAATCGTCTTTATTCATCATTTGCAGAAAAAAATTGCACAAAAAAAATCGAACAAAGATAGTTTGCCAAACCTTATACCCGAGAGAAAAACCGCGGTGGTATTCTGGTGTACAAACAACTGTAATTCCTTGGAATTCTCTGGATTTCCTTGGAATTCCTTGTATTTCCTTGAAATTTCTTGGATTTCCTTGGAATTTCTTTGATTTCCTTGGATTTCCTTGGAATTCCTTGGATTTTCTTCAATTTCCTTGGAATTTCCTGGAATTCCTTGGGTAAAGTGAGGTACATACTATCTACAAACAACTGGAATTCCTTGGAATTCCTTGGATTTCCTTGGAATTCTTCGGGTGAAGTGCGGTATAATTCTATTGTACAAACAACTGGAATTCCTCGACATTCCTTGGAGTTCCTTGAAATTCCTTGAAATTCCTTGGATTTCCTTGAAATTCCTTGGATTTCCTTGAAATTCCTTGGATTTCCTTGAAATTCCTTGGAATTCCTTGGATTTCCTTGGAATTCTATAGATTTCCTTGGAATCCTTTGGGTGAAGTGCTGTATAATTCTATTTTACAAACAACTGGAATTCCTTGGAATTTCTCGGGTTTCCTTGGAATTCCTTGAATTTTCTTGAAATTCCTTGGATTTCCTTGGAATTCCGTGGAATCTCTTGGATTTCCTCGGAATTTCCTGGAATTCCTTGGAGTCTCTTGGAATTCCTTGTGTGAAGTGCGGTATAATTCTTGTGTTCAAACAACTGAAATTCCTTGGAATTCCTTGACATTCCTTGGAATTCCTTGACATCCCTTGGAATTCCTTGACATTCCTTGGAATTTTTTGGAATTTCTTGAAATTCCTTGGAATTTTTTGGAATCCCTTGAAATTCCTTGGATTTCTTTGGAATTCATTGGATTTCCTTGAAATTCCTTGGATTTCCTTAGAATTCCGTGGAATTCCGTGAAATTCCTTGGATTTCATTGGAATTTCCTGGAATTTATTGGAGTTTCTTGAAATTCCCTGTGTGAAGTGCGGTATGATTCTGGTGTACAAACAACTGGAATTCCTTGTGAAATTGAAGTTAATTTGGTGTACACAATTTTGCCCGCGGTTTACCCCTCGCTTATCTGCAATGGGGAAGGCGGATTATCAGCAAAAAGCTGTTTTTCAAGTCAACCCCAAAAATAAATAAGAAGAAGTTAATTTACAATAATATGAATCATGGAAGGTGTTGATGGATATTTTTTGTTTGTTTGCTGTTCTAATTTTTTTTCAACTTTGCTGAACAAAGGCTTGAGGACTGATTTTGATATTCTTTATTCTTGATAAATATCAATGTATGGTTGCCTTCTAACCAACTCACCTACTAAGGAGGATAACAAGAAAACGGGAACAACATCCATTATAGATTATAATTATAATTATGTATGGATGAGCAGCAAGATTCCGGGGTTATATTTGCATTATATAACCTTAAAAAGATCAGCTGAATGTCACAACTCTCAAAATTAAGGTGAATAGAATATGGTGTAATCACAGACAGTGTTTTGTTTCTCCCAAAACGCTTGACCGCAGATTCCGCAATAATGGCATATTAGTTCTCAGTTGCCCGCAAGATGGCGACAGTTTTTACAGATTTCTTTTATAACAGAAAACGGCGCTTACACACCGCTTGCACCAGAAATAATATCATAACATTCATAACAAAACCTCAAATCAAATGAGATTAAATTTGAAAGTACAATACTGTAATTTTGGGGAATTTTAATTATCGTCAGTTCTTCCAATTTCGGGTTTGGTTGAGATTTCGCCATCTAACGGGTAAAATGCGACCTATAATCCGCGATATTGAAAAGAATCCTTTTGTCAAGTAGGCCGTAGATCAAGAATTTTGACCGAAAAACAGTAGATGGAATTTGATGGGAGTTTCTACACCATCTTCTGTTCATCCTGGACTAGTGGTTCATAAAATGACGAAAACTACCTTGGTAGTAAAACACACTTTATGCCCCAAGAAGGACTCTATAATGTTGGGTGTTATAGCTAGTGGTGGAGAAGAGGAAGTTATAAATGTTACATAGAAGCATATATAGCAGCAATCCAAAGTTTTCAGCTTGCATGTCTTGAAGCAATGCTTATTCGTTCATTTATTTATTGAATCTAGTAAAATCTACATTTTGTCATTGAATATCAGATGTATAATATATATTTCATATTGTATCTCCTTCATAATTGTTATTATCGTTGTAGTTGAAGTAAATTGCACTTTGGAGCCCAACAAGCACCTGTGCAACGAAGAAGAAGTGGAAGGATTTCCCTCTTTGTTCTTGTACAAAGACGGTATCAAAGTTTCGGAGTATTCCGGGAGCAGATCCTTGGAAGATTTGTACGATTTCGTTATTAAACACACCCAACATGATGAATTGTAATTTCCTAAAAAGTTTTTCAGCCGTTTCTACAGGGCGTTAAAGATGATACACTCATAATATTGATGAAGTTTGTTCATCAATAACTTTGTTGATTCTGATTCAAGTTCGATTTGACTGGGTGAATTCCGTTAATTTTATACAGGGTGACACTAAACGTGGCTTTAAGACAAATCTATGGAATGGCCAACTCATTAAAATACTGTAATTTCATATCTATTTTTCACAATTTTTTCAATTTTCACAATAAATAAAATTATTGTGGCATCATTCCAGATTATTTGGGATTTTCTTCCTCGTTTCTATAAAATAAAAATATGAATATTATTTCAATATACGTGTAGTGATATTATACAGGTTGGGCAAAAGTATGGAACCAGGTGAATATTTTATTGGTAACCGTTTGTTCGATTCTTTGAATATATGTACAAGGTGATCCCAGAACGTGGTGGATTTAAAAATGTTGTCGTTGATGTTGCCACTTTTTCAGTTATTCCGGAATTATTATTAACTTCTTTATTTTAAATAGAACACTCTGTATTTTATTGAATTTTTAGATTCTCCCTGAAATGTTGATTTCATCGATGCATCACACTTGGGGTCTAGCAAGAATGATTACTGAGATATAGGGTGTTCAAAATCGGGATTGTTTCAACTTTTGGATTTTTTTTGTGTTCCGAAACTATTCATTATTGGTCAAAACGGCTAACATGTCCCTACGTCATCTTTTGATTCACTATCTAACGACATTTAATTGAAACAAATACAGGGTGGTTCAAGATTCAGAAATCTGATCATCCTGTATCTGTTCCCATTAAATACCTATAGATAGTAAATCAAAAGTTGAGATAAGGACATGAAAGCCGTTTTGACCGATAATGAATAGTTTCGACACAAAAAAATCCTAAAGTTGAAGAATTTCGATTTTGAACACCCAATATCTCAGTAATCATTCTTGCTAGACCCCTAGTGTGATGGATCGATGAAATCAGCTTTTCAGGGAGTATCTGAAAATTCAATAAAATACAGGGTGTTCTATTGAAAATAAGGAAGTTAACAATAATTCCGGAATAACTGAAAGAGTATGGCAACATCGACCATAATATTTTCAAATTCACCACGTTTTGAAATCACCCTGTACGTATATTCAAAAAAATCTAACAAACGGTTACCGATATATTCACCTGGTTCCCACACTTTTGCCCAACCTTGTATAATAATTATAATATTACTACACGTATATTGAAATAATATTCATATTTTTATTTTATAGATACGAGGAAAAATATCCCAAAAATCTGGAATGATGAATTTCACAATAATTTTATCTTTGTAAAACATACAATGGAACATTTTTTCCTATGGTGAAAACAAGCAGGGGTTATATTTACAAATATAATATAAGGTGATTGATAGATTTGGTTTGATTATGTACAGGGTGTGACTGCTAGGGCACTCCACAGATTCTTTCAAAGCCATTTTTTGTCGCTCTGTATAATAAGGTGATTTACCCGATTTTATTGAAATTTCAAATGAGATTCCTCATTGATTTACCTACACCATAAAGAAATGTATATTCAAATCTGGCCTGGATTAACAAACTTATTTGTGTTTTGAGTGTATAAAATTTTGGTAGAAATTTAATCTGTCCTTAAGAGTTTGCTTAAATTATTCTTGACACTGCAATTTGAGTTGAAATTGGTATTTGAAACATTCTGTCGGAATAATAATAATAATTTGCATCAACTTTTCTTTCACAGTATGATGCTGAAATTACGGTAGTTTATTTTTTCTGCTCGGGTTATTCAGTTTAATCATAACGCCGGGTGTATACAGGGTGTATCCTAACTACCGTTCCTAACTGCAGGAGGTTATATCTTTTAGGTCATTTTGAGGAGAAGAAAAGTTCCTATGAACATATATCCGGAGTTGCTTCGTTCCTGAGATACAGGGCGTTGAAATTAAATAAAAAAAAAACGGTAATTATAAAATATCATGAATATCCTGGAACCGATTTGGTTGAAATTCAGTACTTTTATCTGTCAAATTTTCTGAAATTTCAGCATAACGAGTGTAAATTATATTTTTGGCGGAAATAATGAAAAACTCATTTCTCCAATGCAGGTGTTCATGATATGCAATACAGTGGCTTTGATTTTTTTTCTCGAAAACGAAACTGGATACAAAGAAAATACAAAAGACCAAAAAGTTGTATTTTGAGCTGCTCAATCTGAAAAAAATAAAAATTTACCAACAAAAGTCAGTGGCGTACTTTTTTTTACAATATTGTTGGCTGTGGTGCCCACTGAGACGCCACTGGCCCCAATAATTTCAATCAAAATAGGGCTAAATAAGCGCCTTATTAGTTCAAATAAAAGTACCAAATTTCAACCAAATCGGTTATAGGATATTCATGATATTTTATTATAACCGTTTTTTTTTCTTTAATTCCAACGCCCTGTACCTCAGAAACGAAGCAACTCCGGACATATGTTAATAGGAACTTTTCTTCCTAAAATGACCTAACGAATCACCACCTGCAGTTAGGAACCCTAATTATGAAACACCCTGTATACAGGGTGTTTCATAATTGACTGTCAATATACGAGGAGGCGATTCTTGGGCCCATTCTAAGAAGAAAGATTCATATGAACGTATGACCTAAACGTCCTAACTCTATTACAATGAAAAGTTATGATTCCAAAATATCAAATATGAAGGCGAAGTTCATAAACTATGAATTGTATTTCTGGATTTTGATATAAAAAATAAAATCTATTTCTCTGCATTGTGATATTATCATATTAATGATATTGCTATAAGCATGTAGTGAATATAGCTTTTTATTTTTTTAAGCGATCAGATTGAAACAATTGTGGTCATCAAATTTGCTTAAAAATGATTGGGAATTTCAGGAATGATTTCAATTTCGAGATCAGTGGCGTACCATCAATATCTGCCAAAATAGGTATGTAAAATTCCGTACGAACGCCACTGGTGGCAAAAAAAAAATAAAGTACACTAACTGATGCCTCTTGATACATAGTACATGTATGCCAAATTTCATTAGAATATCTGAAGTGGTATTACAGATATTAATGAAAAACTATTAATTTTTGAGAACTTTATCACCCTGTATCTCAAAAGTTAGGACGTTTAGGTCATACGTTCATATGAAACATTCTCCCCAAATATTGACATCCAATTATGAAACACTCAGTATACGTTTTTTTTCTCTTAGTCTAGCCTTAATTTTGACATCATTTAGAAAAAACATTCCATAGAATTAATACATACTAAGTTTTGGTTTTATACTGTGCCTGATGTGTTATGTTTTTCTCTCTGTTATTTCAATTGATCTGTAATTTGTTACTCATTGGTTAGGTTGAATTTGAAAGCAGTGAGATTATTTGTTAGCGAGATATTTGAATGAAAAAATTGTTCTTGATAAATAAGGTAGTTCCGTAGGTAGGTACTGAATTATTGTGGGCAATATGTATGAATTATTTCTTTATCATCTGTATCTTCCCATTCAATTTCCATTTTCCCATAACTTTTTGGGAATCGTTGAGCACACATATTTATTAAGATCTTTCCAAATGTGATTTTACTTTGTTTGAATTTGTTGAATTGAATTGTAAATAAATATTGATAAAACTGATATCTTTTGCGTGCTTATTTAGTTACTCCCTGATAATGATGAAAAATAATATATGTTATCAAATATGTGACATACTCGATGGCAACAATGACTTGTTCAAATTATCATTATCGGATCAGACGGTGAAGGTCAGCTTTATCAAAATCAAAACTGTTTTTTTTTAACCAATCTCTGTTATCGATCCCTAGGTATTATTTCTTTCCTAGCCCCTAAAATCAACTTTGTCGTAGGGCATTCAAATTTGGAATACAGGGTCCTGATAAAAAGGGCGCCCAAGGGCGCAGAAAAGCTGTCATTTTTTACCTGCTTTCATTTCCTTGTGATACCTTGGATATGAAATGGTTCGATCTAGTACCTCAATTGACTGGAGATCGATGTGATGAGAACGACTGAATTTTTGGCGGAACTAAATTCATTCACGTATTTTGACCACCCAAAAATATTCTTCGCCATCATTTCAGCGATCTTTCAGACATTTTATTTTTCAATTCTTGGTTACAAATATTAGGAGAACTAATAATAATATATAGAGATAAAAATGAATGGACTCCAGAACATCCTGTATATTAGTTTTCAGCCCATTTTGACGTCTCGAATTGAATGAAAAAAGATTATTTTTCAGACCCAAAAATCAACTTTGTCGTGGGGCCTTCAAATTTGGTATACAATGCCCTCTTATTATTGTAACAAAATCGCAATTTTTAATCTCCTATTTCATTCTTGCGGTACCTTTGATATAAAATGGCTCGATCTAGTTACCTGAAATGGTAGCAGAACTAAAATTTATTCACGTATTTTGCCCACAAATGAAATTCTTCGTCATCATTCCAGGGATGTTTGAGAGATTTTTTTTCAATTTTTGACTTCGAATATTACGAGAACTAATAGAGATAAAAGCAAACGGATTGCAGATTCTTGTTCAGCACATCGAGAACACCTTGTGTGCAAGTTTTAAGTCAATTCTGACGATTCGAATTTGATGAAAAAAGTTCAAAGGGGTTAACCTTGTTTCATTTTCAGACCAAAAAATCAACTTTGTCGTAGGGCCTTCAAATTTGATATACAGGGCCCTTGGGGAATGCCCTAGTGCGGAGTAGAAGCACAGTTCTCTAGCTTTTATTTGAACAAAATAGCAATTTTTCACCTGCTTTTCCATCCTTGCGGTACCTTTGATAAAAAATGGCTCGATCTAGTACGTCTCAATTTTTGGTGGAACTAAGATTTATTCACGTATTTTGCCCACGAAAGGCGCCATCATTTCGACGATCTTTGAGACTTTTTTTCAATTTTTGTCATGGAATATTACGGAAACCAATAGAGATAAGAATTAACGGATTGCAGATTCTTGTTCAGCACATCAAGATCACTCTGTAAGCAAGTTTCGAGTCAATTCTAACGCCTCAAATTGGATGAAAAAAGTTCAAAGGGGTTAACCTTGTTTCATTTTCAGACCCAAAAATCAACTTTGTTGTAGGGCCTTCAAATTTGATATACAGCCCAGACAGCACCAGATATTCCATGAATCTCCCTATCATATTCCTTTTGGAATATTGGAATATTCTAGAAATAATCTGGAATATTCCGGAATATCTGTGGAATATTCTCTAAATATGCGAATGGGAATTCCTCAGATAATCATAGAATATACCCAAAAGAATATTCTATGTTGAATGTTCCTGGAATATTCCAATAAACATATTCTAAAATAAAAAAAAGTGACCCAAGTAGGGATCGAACTCGTGACCTCAAGACTATCAGAGCAACGCCTTGACCACTAGGCCAGTAATCGAATTGAATAATGTTATACATATCAAGTTCTTGTGAGAGCATTGTTCGAAATCGGATCATAAACACTTTTTGTTTCAAAATCCCCTTACATCTAATTGATGTTCGATACTCACATCTCTGAAATAATAAATGGTATTTATGTGTTGAGAAACATAGGAATATTCATGGAATATTTCATGAATATACACCACAGAATATTCAGTTGAGAATATTTCATGAATATACCGCACAGAATATTCAGTTGGGTATATTTCATGAATATACCGCACAGAATATTCAGTTGGGTATATTTCATGAATATACAACAGAGAATATTCAGTTGGGAATATTCCTGGAAGATTCATACCTGAATATTCCCTGAACATGTCCGACTATTCACTTTGGAATATTCCTTCTAGATGTTCCAGAGGCATGTATATATTCTAGGAATAATCGATGAATATTCGGAATATACTCCTCCTTTTTAGCATATTTAGAGAATATCCTATGAATATCCAGTGCTGTCTGGGAGGGCCCTCAAGGGATGCTCTAGTGCGGAGTAAAAGCACAGCTCTCTCGCTTTTATTTGAACAAAATAGCAATTTTTCACCTGCTTTTCAATCCTTGCGGTACCTTTGATAAAAAATTGCCCGATCTAGTACGTCTCAATTTTTGGTGGAACTGAGATTTATTCACGTATTTTGCCCACGAAAGGAATAATTCTTCGCCATCATTTCGACGATCTTTGAGACATTTTTTTTTCAATTTTTGACTTCGAATATTACGGTAACTAATAGAGATAAAAGCAAACGGATTGCAGATTCTTGTTCAGCACATCGAAAACACCCTGCATGCAAGTTTTGAGTCAATTCTGACGCCTCGAATTGGTTGAAAAAAGTTCAAAGGGGTTAACCTTGTTTCATTTTCAGACCAAAAAATCAACTTTGTCGTAGGATCCTCAAATTTGGTATACAGGGCCCTTAAGGGATGCCCAAGTGCGGAGTAGAAGCACAGCTCTCTAGCTTTTAATTTACCAAAAACGCAATTTTTCATCTGCTTTTCCATCCTTGCGGTACCTTCGATAAAAATGGCTCGATCTAGTACGCCTGAATTTTTAGCGGAATTTGAAATAATTCACATATTTTGCCCAGAAAAGAAATTCTTCGCCATCATTTCAGCGATCTTCGGGACTTTTTTTTCCAATTTTTGTCTAGGCATATTACGGGAACCAATAGAGATAAAAACAAAGGGACTGCAGATTCTTGTTCAGCACACCGAGAACACCCTGTATGCAAGTTTTAAGTCAATTCTGACGCCTCGAATTGGATGAAAAAAGTTCAAAGGGGTTAACCTTGTTTCATTTTCAGACCAAAAAATCAACTTTGTCGTAGGGCCTTCAAATTTGATATACAGGGCCCTTATGGGATGCCCAAGTGCGGAGTAGAAGCACAGCTCTCTAGCTTTTAATTTACAAAAAAAGCAATTTTTCATCTGCTTTTCCATCCTTGCGGTACCTTCGATAAGAATGGCTCGATCTAGTACGCCTGAATTTTTAGCGGAGTTTGAAATAATTCACATATTTTGCACAGAAAAGAAATTCTTCGCCTTCATTTCAGCGATCTTCGGGACATTTTTTTCCAATTTTTGTCTAGGCATATTTCGGGAACTAATAGAGATAAAAACAAAGGGATTGCAGATTCTTGTTCAGCACACCGAGAACACCCTGTATGCAAGTTTTGAGTCAATTCTAACGGATCGAATTGGTTGAAAAAAGTTCAAAGGGGTTAACCTTGTTTCATTTTCAGACCAAAAAATCAACTTTGTCGTAGGGCCTTCAAATTTGATATACAGCCCAGCCAGCACAAAGAGGTCCTAAAGATATCTTGAAGAAATCCTTTTAGGAAATTGTGATGCCTTTTGTAACTTCTTTGAGAGATCGCCGAGAGTGCTATATCTATGCCAAATGTCCGCCACCTAGGCTGAGCTCAGCGAGGTCTTGAAGATATCGCACGCAGAAATTCTCATACAATGCCCTCAGGCGCGCACTTTGAGATATACGCTTCCATCGCCACTGGCGATAACTGAAAGTGCTCGCAATCATGAGCTGTTTGAGAAATTCGCATACATTGCTTTGTGACGAGGGCATTGGGAGATTCGCATCAATTGCTTCTGTCGAGGTCTTTAAGTGCTCGCGACTACGAGCTGTTTGAGATTTTCGCACGCATCGCCTTGTGAAGAGAACTTTGGGAAATTCGCATCAATTACTAATAGCGAACTCTTCAAGTGCTCGCAACTATGAATTGTTCAAGAATCCGTGCACATCACCTTATAACGAGGCCTTTAAGCGCGATATTTGCATCAATCGCCACATGATCGCCACTAATATGGTAAGGTGTTCAATGTTTGAGAAGTCATTGGTTATCAGCAGTCTCCTGTCGGCGAAGTCTAACTAGCGCCAGCTATATTGTTTGTGGTGGAGTTAAATTTACTGGATATTTATTTCAGCGAAAAAGATTGAGTTACCAAACTTAGAGTTAGATCAACGTAATGAGCTTTAATTATATATTATTCTATAGCAAGACATTGATCAAGTAAACTTTATCACTTGAAAAAATCTCCGAGGAGTTGGCCGGGTATCCTTTAAAAAAAAAGGTTGTCCGATATCTACCCACGAATTTGAGGTAGATATTTGATTCTCGATCCCACCTGAATTAGAACATTTTTGTCTTTTTCGTCAGAGCAGATAATTAATTATCATCAATTCACTGCAAAATTTGAAATAATTAATCAGTAAGAAAATCTAGTATCTAGTATACCAGCAAAAACTTGCTTACTCGGCAAGATGAACAAAAAATAGTAAAAATGCTTCAAATGACATCAGAGAACTTTCTTTATGACTCAAAAAGAAGTGTATAAGATTGGACAGCCACCTGGTAGCAACTCCTCAATTTTCATTTAATGGACTCCCTGTATATTGTCATTGAAAATTGCCAATCATCATCCTATTTCGGGAATGCACGATAGCACATCGGTACTTTGTATTTTGTTCATTAATAACAACATTAACAATAACATTTTTTGACCTCATTTACGTTACATCGATTGAAAATTGCCTCCTCCCATGTTCGTAAAAATGTCCCACAATGAAATTAGATTAATTATTACACTAGGTAGGTACCGTCTGCAATGATTGATGTTCTGCAGTTCAAAATGGAATATCTGTCATTAATATTTTGAAACAAAAATGCAATCCATACTTCTTATTTGTGAACTTCTTGAACACATGGGTGAAAGCAATTTGTCATTTGAGTAACGTAAAAAAGTCACAAAATGTTCATGTTATTGTTGTTATCAAGAACAAAACACAAAGTATGTGCTATATCGTTGTATTCCAAATAGATTGACACGCAATTTTCAGAGACAATATGCTACTAGATCAGTATCTACCATCCGGGGGCTGCCAAATATATCACATTCTTCATAAGCCATTATAGGAAGGTTATTTAATGCCATTTAATGCAGTTTTTTGATGCTTTTGATATCTTGACAAATAGGCGAGATATTGCCTGTAAACGATAACTTGGGACACCCAGTATTTGAATTATAAAGGCTATTGAAAAAAACAACTCAATATTTTTGTAGGAATATTCATTAATTATTCAGGTAATGTTTGTGATTACTTTAGGAGCTCGCAATGGGAAATTCTCGATCTTGTTACGTCCAGGATATCCTTGGGTGCTCGCAGAAAGAAATGCCTATTCATTTCCTGTTATAGATAACCTCAAGGATTCGCAATAATGAGGAATATATCAAATATGAGGCGAGATCTCCGCGATTTCTTTCGGACGACTCCAGAGAGTATTTCCCATGGTGACAGCCTATAGTGATCTTTGATACCTCGCAGAAGGATTTCGCATTTTGATCCTGAAGATAACTACTTAGAGATATCGCGGAGAGTACTGTGTTACCTGGGAGGGTCCTTGGGGAATGCCCTAGTGCGGAGTAGAAGCACAGTTCTCTAGCTTTTATTCAAACAAAATAGCAATTTTTCACCTGTTTCTCCATCCTGCAGTACCTTTGATAAAAATGGCTAGATCATGTGAGACTGAATTTTCAGCGGAACAAAAATTTATTTACGTATTTTGCCCACGAAAAGAATTCTTCGCCATCATTTCAGCGATCTTCGAGACTTTTTTTTCAATTTTTGACTTCGAATATTACGGTAACTAATAGAGATAAAGGCAAACGGATTGCAGATTCTTGTTCAGCGCACCGAGAACACCCTGTATGCAAGTTTTGAGTCAATTCTGACGCCTCGAATTGGTTGAAAAAAGTTCAAAGAGGTTAACCTTGTTTCATTTTCAGACCCAAAAATCAACTTTCTCGTAGGGTCTTCAAATTTGATATACAGGGCCCTCAAGGGATGCCCAAGTGCGGAGTAGAAGCACAGCGCTCTAGCTTTTAATTTACCAAAAAAGCAATTTTTCATCTGCTTATCCATCCTTGCGGTACCTTCGATAAAAATGGCTCGATCTAGTACGCCTGAATTTTTAGCGGAGTTTGAAATAATTCACATATTTTGCACAGAAAAGAAATTCTTCGCCTTCATTTCAGCGATCTTCGGGACATTTTTTTCCAATTTTTGTCTAGGCATATTACGGGAACCAATAGAGATAAAAACAAAGGGATTACAGATTCTTGTTCAGCGCACCGAGAACACCCTGTATGCAAGTTTTGAGTCAATTCTGACGCCTCGAATTGGTTGAAAAAAGTTCAAAGGGGTTAACCTTGTTTCATTTTCATACCAAAAAATCAACTTTGTCGTAGGGCCTTCAAATTTGATATACAAGGCCCTTGGGGAATGCCCTAGTGCGGAGTAGAAGCACAGTTCTCTAGCTTTTATTTGAACAAAATAGCAATTTTTCACCTGCTTTTCAATCCTTGCGGTACCTTTGATAAAAAATTGCGTGATCTAGTACGTCTCAATTTTTGGAGGAACTAAGATTTATTCACGTATTTTGCCCACGAAAGGAATAATTCTTCGCCATCATTTCGACGATCTTTGAGACATTTTTTTTCAATTTTTGTCATGGAATATTACGGAAACCAATAGAGATAAGAATTAACGGATTGCAGATTCTTGTTCAGCACATCAAGATCACTCTGTATGCAAGTTTCTAGTCAATTCTAACACCTCGAATTGGATGAAAAAAGTTCAAAGGGGTTAACCTTGTTTCATTTTCAGACCAAAAAATCAACTTTGTCGTAGGATCCTCAAATTTGGTATACAGGGCCCTTAAGGGATGCCCAAGTGCGGAGTAGAAGCACAGCTCACTAGCTTTTATTTTAAGAAAATAACAATTTTTCACCTGTTTTTCTATCCTTGCGGTACCTTTGATAAAAAATGGCTCGATCTAGTACGCCTCAACTTTAAGCGGAACTAAGATTTATTCACGTATTTTGTCCACGAAAAGAATTCCTCACCATCAATTCAGCGATCTTTGGAACATTTGTTAAACATTTTTGCCCAGGAATATTACAGGGGAACCAATGGAGATAAAATTGAAGGGATTGCAGATTCTTGTTCAGCACATCGAGAACACTCTGCATGCAAGTTTTGAGTCAATTCTGACGATTCGAATTGGATGAAAAAAGTTCAAAGGGGTTAACCTTGTTTCATTTTCAGACCCAAAAATCAACTTTGTCGTAGGGCCTTCAAATTTGATATACAGGGCCCTTAAGGGATGCCCAAGTGAGGAGTAGAAGCACAGCTCTCTAGCTTTTAATTTACCAAAAAAGCAATTTTTCATCTGCTTTTCCATCCTTGCGGTACCTTCGATAAAAATGGCTCGATCTAGTACGCCAGAATTTTTAGCGGAATTTGAAATAATTCACATATTTTGCCCAGAAAAGAAATTCTTTCTTTTCCAATTTTTGTCTAGGCATATTACGGGAACCAATAGAGATAAAAGCAAACGGATTGCAGATTCTTGTTCAGCACACCGAGAACACCCTGTATGCAAGTTTTGAGTCAGTTCTGACGCCTCGAATTGGTTGAAAAAAGTTCAAAGGGGTTAACCTTGTTTCATTTTCAGACCCAAAAATCAACTTTGTCGTAGTGCCTTCAAATTTGATATACAGGGCCCTTAAGAGATGCCCAAGTGCGGAGTAGAAGCACAGCTCTCTAGCTTTTAATTTACCAAAAAAGCAATTTTTCATCTGCTTTTCTATCCTTGCGGTACCTTCGATAAGAATGGCTCGATCTAGTACGCCTGAATTTTTAGCGGAATTTGAAATATTTCACATGTTTTGTCCAGAAAAGAAATTCTTCGCCATCATTTCAGCGATCTTGGGACTTTTTTTTCCAATTTTTGTCTAGGCATATTACGGGAACCAATAGAGATAAAAACAAAGGGATTGCAGATTCTTGTTCAGCACATCGAGAACACCCTGTATGCAAGTTTTTGGTCCATTCTGACGCCTCGAATTGGATGAAAAAAGTTCAAAGGGGTTAACCTTGTTTCATTTTCAGACCCAAAAATCAATTTTGTCGTAGGGCTTTCAAATTTGGTATACAGGGCCCTCAAGGCATGCTCTAGTGCGGAGTAGAAGCACAGCACTCTAGCTTTCATTTTAATAAAATAGCAATTTTTCACCTGTTTTTCTATCCTTGCGGTACCTTTGTAAAAAACGGCTCGATCTAGTACGACTGAATTTTTAACAGGACAAAAATGTATTTACGTATTTTGCCCAGGAAAAGGAATATTCGCCAACATTTCAGGGCCCTTATGGGAGGCCTTATTGCGCAGTGAAAGCTCAGCTCTTCAGCTTTCATTGAAAAAAAGTGTAATTCTTCATCTGGATTTCATTTCTTGCGGTACCTTTAATAAAAAAGTTACTCGATCCAGTACCCCAATCGACCGATGTCATGAAAACGACTGAATTTTCAGGCGAACCAACTTTCCTATATCATGTCAACGAAAAAAATTCGTTCCCATAATTTCAGCGATCTTTCAGACAATTCTTTTTCGATTGTCGATCGCGAATATCTTTGGAACCAATAGTTAAAAATAAACGGACCTATGGAAATATCTCAAGAAATAATCAAAACAATCTACAAACACTTTCAACTTTATTCAAATAGGATACACCAGTACAAAAACTGTTCACTGGCAAAGATGTTTACACGGAAAAAAAATCATCATTCAAATACTTCCAAGAAAAAAAAAATAGTTCCCCAGACATTCAACAAATCCTCAAATTTACAATGAAACAATAATAGTAAAAAGGAAATCACAATGGAATATCATATGAATCAGTACCCTATCCGCACCCTCACAGCTCGTCGTGCAACTCATCCCTGACGTCCGCCGGCGCCTCATAGCAAGCAGCAGGCGTGACGAAATCGAACATATATTCGCACCGGTTCGGCTCCGAAACGGCCGTTATCTTGTTCTCGCTGCCGCACTCCAACCTGACCACCGTCGACCTGGTGGGGCCGTTCCAACACGACTGCCCCCTGTAAACACGATGAAAACGATGAATATGCAATTTTGCACAATTCAGCGTTTATGAAAAATATTTTTGAATTGTAGACAGGTAACACTCAACCTCCTGTACAGCATTACTTGACTACAATTCAAGCACAATTTGGTATTTGGGAGCAAGAAATTGTGTTTGAATTGTAGCCAGGGCACGCTTAACCACCTGTACAGCGTTACTTGACTACAATTCAAGCACAATTTGGTATTTGGGAGCAGGACATTCTGTTTAAATTGTAGCCAGGGCACGCTTAACCACCTGTACAGCGTTACTTGACGACTGCCCCCTGTAATCACGATGAAAACGATGAAAATGCAATTTTGCACAATTCAGCATTTATGAAAAATGTTTTTGAATTGTAGACAGGTAACACTCAACCTCCTGTACAGCATTACTTGACTACAATTCAAGCACAATTTGGTATTTGGGAGCAGGACATTCTGTTTAAATTGTAGCCAGGGCACGCTTAACCACCTGTACAGCGTTACTTGACGACTCTTCAAGCACAATTTGGTATTTGGGAGCAGGAAATTGTGTTTAAATTGTAGCCAGGTAACGCTTAACCACCTGTACAGCATTACCTGACTAGAGTTCAAGCACAATTTGGTAATTTGAAGCAGAAAATTGTGTTTAAATCGTAGCCAGGTAACGCCTAACCACCTGTACAGCGTTACTTGACTACAATTCAAGCACAATTTGGTATTTGGGAGCGGGAAATTGTGCTTAAATTGTAGCCAGGTAACACTTAACCACCTGTACAGCGTTATCTAGCTACAATTTGAACACAGTTCGGCATGAAGGAGAGAAAATGAGTGCTCAAATTGTAGCCAGGTAACGTTTAAGCACCTGAACAGCGTTACTTGACTACAATTCAAACACAATCTGGTATTTGGGAGCAAGAAATTGTGTTTAAATTGTAGCCAGGCAACGCCTAACCACCTGTACAGCGTTACCTGACTACAACTCAAGCACAATTTGGTATTTGGGAGCAAGAAATTGTGTTTAAATTGTAGCCAGGGCACTCTTAACCACCTGTACAGCGTTACTTGACGACTCTTCAAGCACAATTTGGTATTTGGGAGCAAGAAATTGTGTTTAAATTGTAGCCAGGGCACTCTTAACCACCTGTACAGCGTTACTTGACTACAATTCAAGCACAATTTGGTATTTGGGAGCAAGAAATTGTGTTTAAATTGTAGCCGGGGCACGCCTAACCACCTGTACAGCGTTACTTGACTACAATTCAAGCACAATTTGGTATTTGGGAGCAGGAAATTGTGTTTAAATTGTAGCCAGGCAACGCCTAACCACCTGTACAGCGTTACCTGACTACAACTCAAGCACAATTCGGTATTTGGGAGCAGGAAATTGTGTTTAAATTGTAGCCAGGTAATGCTCAACCACCTGTACAGCGTTATCTAGCTACAATTTGAACACAGTTCGGCATGAAGGAGAAAATTAGCGTTCAAATTGTAGCCAGGTAACGCTTAATCGCCTGTACATCGATACTTGACTACAATTCAAGCACAATTTGGTATTTGAGAGCAGGAAATTGTGTTTAAATTGTAGCCTGATAATGCATAACCACCTGTACACGTTATATTTTCGTTTATATTTGTACAGTGCTGCTCATACGAAACGGAATAAAAATTTTTTCCTCTCGCAAACCCACCTGTCGTAAGTCATCTGAGCATACAGTGCTTTCCATAAAACACGGAATAACCGTCTACCGTTATATTTCCGTTTTCGTATGTACAGTGTTGCTCATAAGAAAGGGAATAACGATTTTTTTCCTCGAAACCCCTCCTGTCGTGAGTTATCTGAGCGTACAGTGCTGTCCACAAAACACGGAATAACCGTCTACCGTTATATTTCTGTTTTCATGTGTACAGTGTTGCTCATAAGGGAATAACGATTTTCTTTCTCGTAAACCCACTTTTCATGAGTCATCTGAGCGTAACAAGGATTAACCGTTATATTTCGGTTTATAAATGTACAGTGCTGCTCATACAAAACGGAATAACGATTTATTTCCTCGAAAACTCACCTGTCGTGAGTCACCAGAGCGTACAGTGCTGTTCGTAAAACAAGGATTAACCGTCTACTGTTACATTTCCGTTTTCATTCGTACAATATTGTTCACACGAAACGGAATAACGAATTTTTCCTCTAATGAGCTTAGTACTGTTCGTAAAACAAGGATCAACCGTCTAGCGTTATATTTCCGTTTTCATTTGTACAGTGTTGCTCATTCGAAACGAAATAACGATTTTTATTCACCGAAAGCCACCTATCGTAAGTCACCATGATATGTCCGTTTCTAAATGTAGAGTGGCACTCATACAAAACGGAATAACGATTTCTTTCCTCGAAAACTCTCCTGTCGTAAGGTCAACTAAGCGTACAGTGCTGTTCATAAAACAAGTACTAACCGCTTTCACTTGTACAGTGTTGCTCATACGGAACGGAATAACGATTTTTTTCCTCGAAAACTCACCTGACGTAAGTCATCTGAGCGTACAGTACTGTTCGTTGAACAAGGATTAACCGTCTGCTGTTATATTTCCGTTTTCATTTGTACATTGTTGCCCATACGAAACGGATTAAAATTTATTTTTCCACGGAAACCCACTTGTCGTAAGTCATCTGAGCGTACAGTTCTGTCCATAAAACACGGAATAACCGTATTCCGTCATATTTCCGTATTCATGTGTACAGTGTTGCTCATATGAAAGGAAATAACGATTTTCTCGTCGAAAACCTACCTGTCGTATGTCATCTGAGCGTACAGTGCTCTCCATGAAACACGGAATAAGCGTCTACCGTTATATTTCCGTTTTCATTTTTACAGTGTTGCTCCCGCAAAACAGAATAATGATTTTTTTTCTTGAAAACCCAAACGTAAGTCATTAGTGTACAGTGCTGTTCATAAAACAAGGATTAACCGTCTACCGTTATATTTCCGTTTATAAATGTACAGTGCTGCTCATACGAAACGGAATAATGATTCCTTTCCTCGAAAACTCACCTGTCCTGAGTCATCTGAGCGTACAGTGCTGTCCATAAAACACGGAATAACCGTCTACCGTTATATTTCCGTTTTCATGTGTATAGTGTTGCTCATACGAAAGGGAATAACGATATTTGTCCTCGAAAACCTACCTTTCCTAAGTCATCTGAGCGTACAGTGCTGTCCATAAAACACGGAATAACCATCTACCTTTATATATCTGTTTTCATGTGTACAGTGTTGCCCATACAAAACGGAATGACGATTTTGTTCTTTCTTCGTAAAGAACCCACCCGTCGCAAGTCATCTGAGCGTACAGTGCTGTCCATAAAACACGGAATAACCATATACCTTTATATATCTGTTTTCATGTGTACAGTGTTGCCCATACAAAACGGAATAACGATTTTTTGTTTCTTCGTGAAGAACCCACCTGTCGTAGGTCATCTGAGCGTACAGTGCTGTCCATAAAACACGGAATAACCGTCTACCGTTATATTTCCGTTTTCAGTTGTACAGTGTTGCTCATACGAAACGGAATAACGATTTTTTCCTCGAAAACTCACCTGTCGTAAGTCATCTGAGCGTACAGTGCTGCCCATAAAACACGGAATAGCCGTCTACCGTTAGGTTTACGTTTTAGTGTGTACAGTATCGCTCATGAGAAAGGAAATAACGATTTTTTTCCTCGAAAATCCACCTGTCGTAAGTCATCTGAGCGTACAGTGCTGTCCATAAAACACGGTATAACCGTCTACCGTTATATTTCCGTTTTCAGGTGTACAGTGTTGCTCATAAGATAGGGAATAACGATATTTTTCCCCGGCAACCCACTTGTCGTAAGTCATCTGAGCTGCTGCTGTTCATGAAACAAGAATTTCCGTTTAAAATGTACAGTGCTGCTCATACGGAAGGGAATAACGATTCCTTTCCTCGAAAACTCACCTGTCCTATAAGTCATCTGAGCGTACAGTGCTGTCCATAAAACACGGAATAACCGTCTACCGTTATATTTCCGTTTTCATGTGTACAGTGTTGCTCATACGAAAGGGAATAACGATATTTGTCCTCGAAAACCTACCTTTCCTAAGTCATCTGAGCGTACAGTGCTGTCCATAAAACACGGAATAACCATCTACCTTTATATATCTGTTTTCATGTGTACAGTGTTGCCCATACAAAACGGAATATCGATTTTTTGTTTTCTTCGTAAAAAACCCACCTGTCGTATGTCATTTGGGCGTAGGCGTCGTATTCGGGTCCCGACCACCTGCCCCACGTGCCCAACCTGGTCTCCGCCGCCCCCGATTTCGGTTGCTGCGACGTCCTATCAAAAGGACACAACTTGTAGATGTACTCATGGTCCTCGAATTGGAAGCATTCGCCGTCCAATACGGCGAATTCCTCGTCCACCCCGAAGTCCTGAAGAAATAACAGTCATTATACAGGGTGAATCATTAAGAATGGACGATCTATGAGAAATATAATTCACGCTTTCTGAAATACAACTGGAAAATGCGCAGAGAATGTGAATTTCATTATAGACAAGCAAAAAAAAAACGATTTCACAGCTGGAAGATAGCATACATAGTAATATTCTTTTTACCAACTTTGTCTGAGATTAACCAAGATTCTCAGTGCAGCTCAATAGCTCAGTTGTATTACATGTTTTATTTATCTTAGTCTGATGTGAGTTGTCTTAAGAACATGTTGAGACTATTTCTTCCCCCTCACCCCAACTAAGCTTGCTATTCATCTGGTGTTGTAGTGAGAAAAAGGTGAGACTGTATTAATTCTAGTAATTCTGTGGTTCTGTGCTGAAAATTGTGAGGTTATATTTTCATTTTGACATGCTTTCAGCTTTGAAGTTTAGTCCACAGGTTAAATCCTTTGAATACTCACTACAATAATATTCCTATGGGTTGCGTGCAAGAACTGTCAGATGACCGACCTTGGAGGCACAACATTGAAACACAACCTCACTTTTCTTATTTGTTTACAAGTGATTGAAATCGTTTTTCAGAATTATTTTGGCATAGGAATCGTATTTATCGGCTATTCATTAATTCGCTCATGCCATCACATTGTGCTGTTGTACAATGCACAAAAACTGCAGCAGGAGACAAAGGAATCCGGTCACATATAGTTTTCATTTTTGAAACTTGGTAATTTATCTGATTTCTCATCGGAATTCCTTCTGCAATGAGCTAATAGAAATACTAAAAGAATGCACGATTGGATTCATGCAATCAAGAAAGGGCTGGTCTGACATGCTGACGAAATATGATCGTGTGTGTTGTAGACATTTTCAATCTATTAGCAGTATTAGCTTGTATTGCAGAAGTGGCAGAAGGAATTTTAATAAGGAATGACAACATTTCATAATGATATGTGAGATTACTATTTACCTGGAAAATCATACTTCCTTCGTCTCTCGCTGCATTTTTTGTGCATTGTACAACAGCACGATGAGAAGGCATGCTTGAATTAATGAATAGCGCAAAAAACACGATTCGTAAGCCAAAATATTGTGAAAAACTATTTCAATCCTTTGATTCCACTGTAAACAAATAAAAAAAGTGAGGTTGTGTTTCAATAATTCACAGAAGAGTGAGGTTATGTTTCAATATTTAACCTCCGGTTCGGCCATCGTGCACGTGACATATACTCCTCATTAATTTCCTCAGCCATTTTACATTTTGGTTGAATTATGTTGGGTTATGTTTTCTACCCTTGCCCTTCCTGACAGATACAAACGTGTTCTTTTTATTCAATCAACAACTCAGATCCGTCTCACCTCCTTCTAACTAAATTGATGTCAGTAGTGAGAATATAACAAGGTAAACAGAATCTAGATGTCTACAGCAAGATTTACCTTCTCCAAGTACTCTGTGACGTCCTTGATTTCGTTGTCGAGATCGCGCACGCGCCTCTCAGCCTCTTGGAATTCGGCGCGTGCCGCATTGGCTCGTTCTACGATTTTTTGCGTTTCCTCGTCATAAGTGACTGAAGGAGGATCGGAGTGCTCTTCTGCCGGTTCCGGTTCTTGCGGTTCATCTTCCTCGTCGTCGTCCTCCTCCTCCTCTTCCTGTTCTTCTTCGTGTGCTAATTCGAATTTTAAATTGAATTAAAAAGAAACAACGTGAAAAAAAGATGAGGAATTTATGAGAATGGGCGAGTGGACTGGTAATGAATTATTGGCATTCAATTACTCCACTGTGTCTTTAAGGATCTTATGTTCTGTTATGAGTTTATGCGTGGTTCAAAATTCAAACGAACCTTCATGGCCGCCATTTGGCGATAAGTCGAATAAATGGTGACGTCAGCTTTTATGCTGTTTCGTTATTGGTCAGATAATCTTCCATTCCCACTCTTGAAGCAAGGTTGTCAGGTCATCGATTATAATCAAGTTATCAAAAAGATATTAAGAGCATTGTCACTCCTGTCGTTGAATTAAACACGAGATAAAACATGATTGGAGGAAGCCATGATAATATAGTTCATTCTTGACTTTTTCGAACAATCAGCATGTCTTATACTCCAAAACATAATGTCATGTAAATGTTGAAGACTTGGCAACAATGTGCTGAATGCTGAAGAACTGACAAAGCACCGCCCACAATTCGTGCGCCGTGTTGTCACTTTCACCGGTTCAAATGTCATCTAGTGTGAATTTTACTAATTATTATTTACACAAATGTATTATCTATACCAATATTATAAAGAAGGAAAGATTAGATTGTTTGTTTGTTTGTTTGTATGTGTTGAATACGCTCCGAAACTACTGGATCGATTTGGCTGGAAATTGGTGGGGAGGTAGCTTAGGACCAGGAGAAGGTTATAGGATACTTTTTATCCCGGTACCATTAGGAAATTCAAGATGACGGATATAATATATCGGACGAGTTTTGTAATTATGGTCAGATTCTATTCAAAATTGGTATCTGGGGGTTTTCGGGATCGGAGATTATGAGTCTTTCGTCAGAATTTGAAAATTCGGGCGGAATTTGGAAATTCAAGATGACGAACGAGTTTTGTAATTATAATCCGATTCTTTTCGAAATTGGTACCTAGGGGTTTTCGTGATCGGGGAATATGATTCCTTCGTCAAAATTAAGAAATTCTAGATGGCGGATCCAAAATGGCGGACTTTGTAATTAGGATCCGATTTCATTCAAATTTGGTATATGGTGGTTCTGGGGGTCGGAGATTATGATTCTTTCGTCAAATCAGGAAATTCAAGATGGGGTACCCAATATGGCAGACGAGTATTGTAATTATGATCCGACTCTTTTCAAAATTGTTATCCAGGTGTTTTTGGGGTCGGAGGCAGAGATTCATCAAGTCAAGTAGCTTGATATTTTAACAAACTTCTTGACTTGACTTGAAAATCAAGCTCGTGGCAAATTACGTACTTGACTTGACTTGAATTTGAGATATTTATTACTTGACTTGAAATCAAGCTACTTGATAATACTTGATCTTGATACGCACGAGTCGCACGGCGTATATTTCTGCAAGCTCGCTCACGCTTAGACAAAATACGGGGGTTCCCCGAGATCCGAGCTGACTGAATCGATGGCACAGTCAGTCTTACGATGCCATTTTCATTTCATCAGTTATATACAGGGTGACTCAAGGTCGATGGTAGGTTAGACGTTCACGTTTATGATAGGAACGCAACGCAGGATTTTTCTGAAAATTTCGCATCTCACATTTCATCACCGGTGTATTTTCAAAATCACGACGTTGCCGAAAGGTAGGAACCACATTGTTATTTCGAATTGAACACCCTGTATTTTATTGCATTTTCAGATTCTCCTTGAAGAGTTGATTTCATCGATACATCACACTCGGGGTATAGCGGAAATAATTATGGAGATATAGAGTGCGAAAAATCGAGATTTTTCAACTTCAGGAATTTTTTGTGTATGCGAAATTTTCAGAAAAATCCCGCGTCGCGTTCTCCATAAACGTCTGACCTATAACATCGACCGTGAGTCACGCTGTATAGATACACAATAAAACTGCTGAAAATCAAGTAGCTTGATAGAACTACTTGATTTTTCAAGTACTTGATAAATAATTACTTGACTTGACTTGACATTAAAAAACTTTCGCTTGACTTGAACTTGACTTGATTTCAAGTCAAGTCAAGTCAAGTAGCTTGAATATCAAGTCAAGCCGTGAATCTCTGGTCGGAGGTTATGATTCTTTTGTTAAAATTTGGAAAGGGCTGGATTTAGAGATTCAAGACGGTGGAACCAATTCCTTCATCAAAATTCGGGAATTCAAGATGGTAGATCCAATATTGCGGACAAGTTGTGTAATTATGTACCGATTCTATTCAAAATTTTCATCTGGGGATCAAGGAGTCGGAAATTATGATTCTTTCGTCAAAATTGGGAAATTAAAGTGAACTAAAAAGAAATTGAAATGAATGATAGTTTGAAAAACTAAAGAAACACGCTTTTATAGATAGTGAAACTAAAAAGAAGTAGAAAATAAAATAATAATAGTGTCTTGATGACTATTGAACTGAAAAAATATATTATAGAAATAATGTATATAGCAAAAAAAAAACGTTTGCAAGGACTGCTAGTATTCAATAAGTTCCCAGTTATATTTCAACATATGGCAACTGTGCTATGGCCTGCCCCTACTCACGAAATCATGACGTTAGTTTTTACTCGCCGTAAATTTCAAGCCGCTTGAAAATTACCGTGGGATTATTGATGATTTAAGCACCTTAAAATCGACCGAAAAAAACTAAAAAAATATGAAATTGAAAGGTATTTGAGTGATGATTCTATTTGAGTAATAAAAATAATAGTCTACTCGCCTATTAGAGGAGAGAGGAGATAAAGGGGTTCACTATGGAAGAAGAGCTTGTAAAGTTGAAGAACATGGAAAAATTAATGAAAATTAAGACTATAATAGGGGTTGAATTGCTGATTAACTCCATAGGAAATGAGTATGAATTGAGAGAAATTGAATAGAATCGGAGAATTTTAATGGTTTACCAAATCAGAAAATTCCCATATCTGTTAGGAAATAGGTTGGATACAGGGTGGGAACACTCCTGAATTAGCTAGGAACTAAAGGGAAGACTTCAGAGATAATTAAATAAATTGAAATTGAAAGTGAAAATAACACTTGTTAGCAAATATGATAAATACAAAATTGATCACTTGTGAGAAATGAAGAAAACGAAAGAACTTGGAGAATATTATTCAAAGACTGAGTTGATATTAGGGGTTAGCCACATACCACATATCAAAACTCCTTTATTTCATAGGAAATACATTAACCACAAAGTTACATTAAAAAAGAAAGAGATGCAGGAATTCAGATAAATAAGCTAGGAAATGAACAGGAAATTAGACATCAATCTAATATATAAAATTCTCCTTTTCCGGTCACGGTGTTAGTGGTCGAACTCCTTCGAAACGGCTCGACCGAATCATATGAAATTTTTTGTGCGTATTCGGTAGGTATGAGAATCGGTCGTTATCTATTTTTCAAATTGAAAATTCAAGATGCCGGATTCAATATGGCGGACGAGTATTGTTATCCGATTTCATTCAAAATTGGTATTTGGGGGTTTTCGGGGTTGGAGATTATGATTCTTTCGTCAAATTTTGGAAATTCAAGATGGCGGATCCAATATGGCGGAAGAGTTTTGTAATTATGGTCAGATTCCATTCAAAATTGGTATCTGGGGGTTTTCGAGGTCAGAGCAGATTATGATTTCGTCATAAACATTAGGAAATTCAAAATGGCGGATCCAATATGGTGGACGAGTTTTGTAAATATGGTCAGATTCTATTCAAAATAGGTATCTGGAGGTTTTAGAGGTCGGAAATATGAATCATTTGTCAAAATGGGGAAATTCAAAATGGCGGATCCAATATGGCGGACGAGTTTTTAAATTATGATCAGATTCAATGCAAAATTGGTATCGGGGGATTTTCGAAATCGGAGATAATGATTCTTTCATCAAAATTTGGACATCCAAGATGGCAGATCCAATATGGCGGACGAGTTTTGTAACTATGATCCGATTCCATTCCAAATTTGTAACTGGGGGATTTTGGGATCGGAGATTATGATTCTTCATCAAAATTAGGAAATTAAAGATGGAGGATCCAATATGGCAACTGAGTTTTGTTATTATGATCCAATTCTATTCAAAATTTGTATCTGGGTGTTTTCAGGGTCGGAGAAGAATAAGAAAACAAAATAATAAAAGTATGTTGATGAATATTTAACTAAAAAAATATTTTCTAGAAATAATTGTATATAGCAAAGCAATGTTTGCCGGGTATCAGCTATTGTAATAAATATTATTTTGAAAAACTAATGAAACTCCTTTTCATAGATAGCCAAACTAAAAAGAGGTGAATAGAAAATAAAGAGTAGTTTGAAGAAATGAAGAGGTATAGAGCTCCGAACTAAAAAGAAGTAGAAAATAAATAGAGTAGTTTGAAAAACTAAAGAATCCCGCTTTTATTGATTGACAAACTAAAAAGAAGTAGAAATAGAATAATGTAAGTTTTCTGATAAATATTTATCTGAAATTTTTTTTCTAGAAATAATGTTTATATGGCAAAGCAACGTTTGCCGGGTCAGCTAGTGAAATTATATAAAATGACATAATCATGGAAACTTCTAAAACTTCTTAGGAAATAAATTGAATAGAAGGTTGAAAACCAACTGTAAAAATGAATATATAAGTGAGAGAATAAGAGGAAAAATATGCTATTCAGATTGAATACTAGATTTGTTAGCAAATCAGATGAATGCAAAATTGATCACTTGTGAGAAATGAAGAAAATGAAAGAACTTGGAGAATATTAGTCAAGACTGAATTAATATTCGGGGTCAGCCACATACCAAAAGTCCTTTATTTGATAAGAAATATGTTGATCAAATACTCACTTTAATATGAATTTTTGAATGTTGTGATTCAATGTTATTGTACATAGGTACTGCATTCTTTGTAATTGTACACTTTTGCAAGTGAAACAATATCAAAATGATGTGGATGCATGCAATATATGATAAGGAAAATGAAATGAAAAAACAAACCCAAATGTAACCTTTATTGAAATAGTAGAAATTGTATACTTGCCTTCCTCTTCCTGTTCTTCCTGCACACCTTCACCTTCAGTTGCTGTTCCCTCAGCTTCAGCAACTGGAGGTTTAAACAAACCAGCATCCATCATCAAACGAGGTTTAATACTGCCCCAGCACTCATTGATGAATGTCTCCAAGTCAACTGAATCCTGCAGATTCAAAAAATATTTGGCTTCTTCTTCAGACACTGAAAATAATTTGTTGGACATTTTGTGCATATTTTTGAAATTTACAACTGTACCTTCTCCATTCCTATCTTTGTCAAAGTGCTGCCTGGTTTGAAGCTCTGAAATGTCCACATAACCATCCTGATTTGAATCATACTTGTTGAAAGTTTCAACAGCTTCTGCCTTGTTTTTTTCGGCCTCAGCTTCCACCTTTTTCTTATTTATTTCTTCTTCAAGTTGTCTGTAATATTCTAGAGCTGTGTTCTCTATTTCCTCTACTTCTTTCTTCAATGCTTCCTTCTCAATTTTCAGTTTATCAGCCTCTTCTCTATTCTTCTGCAGCTCATTGATTTTCCCTTGTTTTTCCTGCTTCAGCTGCATCCCTAAATATCACACTTTCAAATATAATATACAGTCATAAACAAATTGCCCAAATTTTAAGTTTCTTATATTTATTTCCATTAAATCATTTCCAAAAATGAGAACTCATTTTAGTCCAATAAATAAAGGGAAAAAGTTAATTACGCACTATTTTCATCTTCCGGTTGGAAGTAGCTTTTGGTACCTCATTAAACATGAGACAAAGTTTGACTGGAAAACGCGTGCGATGGCGGAGAAAATGGCCCCAAAAGACCAGGAAAATAGGTTTTCAGCCAATATCTCCTAAAATATGGCAGTTAGAGATTTTCGGTTCAGATAAAAATCAAAGTTCAGTTAATTTTCTACAAAAATGGTCCTTATCATTTTTCTCGAAAATTTGCCCGGTTTCGAGAAAAACGGCACGAAGCGCACCTCGAATAATGAGCTTCTGTTGTATGCCGGAGAGCACAGTCCGTGTATTTACACATCGGCGGGGGGACAAATTATTCAATAACTTTGTTAAAAATGCATATTTTCTCATGATTCAAAGTTCATGTGAAAGAGGAATTCTGCTGCTATCATACCCTGTAAATTGAGTCACGCTTGACTCTTTTGGCCATATCGGAACATGGGTCAAACTTTCTGCTCCCGGTCAATTTTGACCTCGCCAGGAATTTGTTCCTATTTTTTTTTGTATTGCACTAATTTACTCAAAATTCTCTTGATTATGGGTCCTCATAAGGTCCTTTGTCATCCCTGAAATTTGTATACCCTAATTTTTTTTAATTTTCATTCAATCTTTGTTTATTGAATCCCAATTTTTTGCTGTTTTTGTGAACAACCATCAATTAAAAATGTATACATGATCCGATTGGTTTCTATGATACATCATTTGAGAGCTAAGAAGGTCTACTTTTCGATTGTGCAATTACTTTTTTAGACGAAGTCGGCCATTTTTCAATAAAATTAGAAAAAGCGGGGTCAAGGAAAAAACGCACTTTTTTTTCGTTGGTTTTTTTCTCCGTGCTCTTTATTTCTAACATTTCAACACCTCAACTAGTGTAACGGGGGAATTCCCACCTTTCCATCGATGTATATAAGTCATACCTTTGATATCCCGGGAAAAAACCAGTATATCTAAATGTACACGCTATAATTTATTACTTTCGTTCCTCCGTCGTTCGCCGCGTGTGTGCTCTACGTGGCGCTCGGGTCGTCTGCTACAAACCATGCGGCCACGCAGGGTATGATAGCAGCAGAATTTCTCTTTCACATGAACTTTGGATCATGAGAAAATATGCATTTTTAACAAAGTTATTGAATAATTTGTCCCCCTGCCGATGTGTAAATACACGGACTGTGCTCTCCGGCATACAACACAGAAGCTCATTATTCCAGGTGCGCTTCGTGCCGTTTTTCTCGAAACCGGGCAAATTTTCGAGAAAAATGATGGAGACCATTTTTGTAGAAAATTAACTGAACTTCAATTTTTATCTGAACCGAAAATGTCTAACTGCCATATTTTAGGAGATATTGGCTGAAAACCTATTTTCCTGGTCTTTTGGGGCCATTTTCTCCGCCATCGCACGCGTTTTCCAGTCAAACTTTGTCTCATGTTTAATGAGGTACCAAAAGCTACTTCCAACCGGAAGATGAAAATAGTGCGTAATTAATGTTAATTTTGCCTTTTTTTCCTCCTTCATTTATTGGACATATGATGGCTGAAGGATCAACAAAATTTCTTGCTACCCATAACATTATGAAAATAATGCAAAATTGGTTAATGAAGAATTGAGATTGTTTCTTATGATGTGACAGTCCTTATCATTCTTGCATATATCATTGAATTTTCCTTATTACTGAAAAATTAAGACTTATGCTGGGTTTATATGTACAGAGTGACCAAAATAAAAGTGGGCCACCTTCATAGATTTGTTAATGACGGACCAATTTTAAGGATTTTTTTGTCAAAATGTGGAGGGGGAAAATCGGCCAACTAGATCACATCCAGAGGCTGAAAAATCCAGATATCATATTAGCGATTTTTTTAGAAAGAATCCGCGTACGCCACTGGAATCGGCGAATCGGCAGAATGTCTGAATTACTAACAAGTGGTTTATCATGAATTGAGAAGCTTTTCATATGTTTTAATATTCAGAATAGTAGGCTTTGCAATTACTTAAGTCACATATGACAGATGACCACAAATTATTGCAGTTTCTTCCCCTATCTCTGGACTCAACTCCCCTAAGATGGTTTAATAAAGAAACAGTTGAAAAATCCATAATCTGAAATCAATCCATGTGTGTTAATTCAATATTATTTAGGAGAATGTCTTTATAGAAATACCTATTAAATGAAGTCCTAATTCATTTTTTATGGCATGGATAACACATGAAAAGCTTCTCAATGGATAATAATAAGCAGTAATTTCAAAGAATTTTTTAGGTTGAATATTTTTTCATAAAACTATTTTATAGGACATCATTTCCAGTGGAGTACACATATTTATTTTTAAAAAACTACTAATATGGATTTGGGATATCTCAGCCTCTGAATATGACATCATTTAGCTTCAAAATACACCTTTTCCCCCTCCACAATAGAAAAAAATTCATCAACATTGCTACATAAATAAAAGATTTATGAGGGTGGCCATTTTTACAATGGGACCCACTAATATTCAACTGGACTAAGAATTCAAATAAATTCTAAAAACTTGAACAGTTGGATACAAGGAAACATCTATGAAACAAATAAAAATCAAGAAATTTTGGAGGCAGAACATGTAGAACATGGAAATTTGAATTGTTATTATTGAAACTGAGGTTTAGTGATATTTTATTGGAATATTGAACTAACAACTATGAATTTAAAAAGTTGAATACAAGGAAACATCTATGAGGGTTTATACATTTACATCTGTCATTTAAATTAAGAATTACAAAGTTAGCCAACTAAGAATTAGGAAATTCTGGAGACAGAACATGAAGATTGGATTTGTTACTGTTCAGATGGAGATTGGTGACATTCAATTGGAATATTTTTTATGGATTCATGAATTGTGGAGACCAAAATCACATTTTAACAACATTGTGATCTTTAGTCAAAGTACATTTCACATTTAATTCTTATTCTTTATCAGATATTTATAAACAACCCATGATAATTAATTGTTGATTGTTAATTGATAATTCCTAATTGTTAATTTGATTGAATCTACCAGGTGTTTCTCAAAATTGGCTCATCCTTTTCTGTTTCTATTGATAAAGAAATATGCCTTAATTTGTCCTATTCAATTGTTCTCTGTCACTTCTGGTTTGACAGTAAATGGCTCATATTTTTTCATTTTGAATGGGACACCTGGTATATTTTCACATATTTCCATAGAGAATAACATTGTGAGTACAATGACATTTTTAATCCTTAAATTTTCAATTTTCAATCTAGAATGTTTATGATACTGGATATTAATTCAAAATATGGATTGTGTGGTATCAACCTGTTCATAACAAAATATATTTTTCAGATATGGTAATGTGCCAGCCACCCTTGTTCTATTTGAAAAAAATCAAAATTATGATATTGTAAATTTTCAATGAAAACCTGTGAAACAAAAGAGAAGTAAAACTTCATTGAAACTATTTTTCCTAGGCAACATGATTCAAAATCAACTGTTCTAACTCATTCATGGCACTCTAGAGGCCTGTTCATTTGTGCTTGCTCAACCTGCTGAACTTGATTTTTTTCTATGACTTTCTTTGTTTAAATCATGGCATGAACAGAGACAACTATGGGAAAAAGATCAACTTTAGCCAGTTTAGCAATACAAACTAACAGGCCTTATATGAAAATGAAAATTTCAGGATGATAAATATCAAAAAGAGGCAAATGTAGTGTCATTGTACTCAGAATGTTATTCTTTATTGAAATAAGTAAAAATATATGGAGTGTCCCATTTAAAATATGAAAATATGGGTCATTTATGGTCAAACCAGAAGTGACAAGAACCAATTGAATACATCAATTAATGCATATTTATGTACTATACAAATTCACCAAATTTCATTTGTTTATCTGTATAAACTAAAAAGTTATAGGGGTGAGCTACTTTTGAGAAACACCATAAAAACCCAGCATTATGAATTCATGGATTGTGAAGACCAAGGGCAATTTTCAAAATCATTTTAATCATCAATATATAATGAATGTTGCATGAATCAACTGCTGCATGAATCTACCATTAGTGGAATTAAATGAAGATACCTTTTTGGCTCATTTCAGCTCTCAACTGTTTACCAGCCTTCACTAGCTCAGCTTTTCTCTGTGCAGCCTCCCTGGCACTTCTACCCAGGTCCAAACAGTTATTGCGGCACGTCGTTTCTCCACTGTACTCGTCAGCCCCGTCGCAGCAATCGCATATCCCGTCGTTCACCCTGCTAGAGGGAATATTCAAGGGTCTGTGGCCGGCATTCGTGCAATGGAAAACGCCGTGGGGGCACGCGGTGGTGCCCGGTTCGTCGCTAGCATCGTAACAGTCGCAATAGTCGTCGTTTACCTGAGTGAATGGGATGGTTTTGCTGCCATCGAAGCAAGTGAAGTCTCTGTCGGGGGGGTACAAGGGGGCCCTCGAAAGCGAGACGCCTCTCGGTCTGGGCACTTCCGACGACAGGATTTCGCATACGAACACGAAAACGACTAGGAATGTGTTCATTAATTTTGGGTTTTTCGTTATTTTTGCGTTCATCTCACCGGCCGCCGAACTAGAAAATGTTGGAATGTTGGCAATGATGAAAGAGTCATGCGCCATGCGCGAAACGTCACAAATATTCTCACGTCAAAACAAAAGACACGTCAGGGTTCAGAGGAGGTTAGAATTTAGTCGCTGATTCTGGTTAGAGGCTTGTCGGTTTAAATGAGAAGAAGAATTCTGCATGACCAAGATTGATAAACTATACACGATGCCTCGCAACTTTAGGGCAACGTTCAACTATGGATCGAACCGTGGTCCATGTGGTCACATTTGAAATGAGACCATCCCAATGCCATGACAAGCGTCTACAAACACCGGAGCCGGAGGCTCTCTGAATCCGATCGTCGCCGCTGATGCAGAGCACGCGCCAAATTTAAAAACAATAATAATCCATGATCGAGTGTAATGTTTTGGAAAAATGATGCAAAGTATATTTTTCCTTCAGAATTTACCTTGAGAAACAAATTATTGCGAGAGCTAAACATTGCAAAGGCCTTACATGTTTTTTTTTCATATCAGGACAAAATTGACAAAATAAACACAACTTATCAAAATGAGCTAAATCCATATATCCAGGCCTATTCGTTTGTGCTTGCTCAACCTTCTGAACTTGATTTTTTTCTATGACTCTCTCTGTTTACATTATGCCATAAACAAGGACAACGATGGGAAAAAAATCAAATTTAGCAATACAAACGAACAGGCCTGTTATGAATCATAGCTGTCCTCAAAGCGGGACCAACTTCATGATGCCGACGTAGGGAAAGAATAATACGAAACTTGTTAAACCAAAATGGCTGTCCATCCTTCACTTTCCGTCATTATAGATTCAAAAAGTACCTCTCATTTCGGTCCCATCTTTGTTAAAATATCGTATAGGAGATGCGCTATATATAGAAATAGTAAATATATGGGTAACGAAATCGACCAATAGGCGTTGATGCCGACGTAGGGAAAAAATAATACGAAACTTGTTAAACCAATCAACCAATATGGCTGTTTTCATCCTTCACTTTCCGTCCTTGAAAGATTCAAAAAGTACCTCTCAATTAGGTCCCATTTTTGTCACTTGAGATATCGTATAGCCGATGCGCCATATATAGAAATAGTAAATACATATATATGTACTATCTCTATATATGGCGCATCGCCTATGGCTCATGCTGCAAACTTCATTCTCGTAGGAAACAGCGTACATAAATAAACTGTACACTGTAGGAAATGACTATCATTCCGTGCTCGGTAAACAATAATATTGTGTAACGATGGGATTTTGTGGGACGAGCGAAATGATGCGTTTCTTGACTGGTTACGTAAATATCTATCGAATCCAGAATTTATTTACCATTTACAAGATATGCAAGAGTTGTGTCAGCAATACCGGGAACACACACAGTATCTAAAAACACAAAATCGAATCATTAGACAGTACGTCCAACTCCTTATTCATTCATCTATATTCACAAGTCATGAAAAAAAAATAAACAGCTTTATGCACTACCTAAGATTCGAAATTGTACCTACCTATTAGTCATCTGAAATAAATTGTATCTTTAAACTTAATTAAATGGAAAATTGGAATAACAATGTCATTTCTAACAATTATGCTAAACTGGAACTGCTATAGGCACTACTGCTATCATCATGATCATTAGGAAGTTTCACTGTCAATTCATTGCATTCCTCTTCTAAAAAAAAAAAGATCCATTAACAACATTTGCCTCATACACCAGGGTGATATACATAAATACCTATATGGCCACACTCCAAGGATTGTTTTTTTTATTGATTTTGAGACGAAAAGTTCATAAAAACATTGGGCCGAACATACAGGGTGGTCCACGGTGGATGGCCTATTAGAAGTATCTGGAGAACGAAAACACAAAACATTCTGAAAATTGGAATGCTATGATAATTGAACATTCTCTATCCGTCTAAAAGATTTTCATCGATACAGTGTTGCCACATCTATCAGAAACAACTAGCAACTTCGTTATTTTAAATGGAGCACCCTGTATATTATTGCATTTTTGAATTCTTCCTGAAGAGCTGATTTCATCAATGCATCACACTTGGGGTCTAGCAGGAATGATGACAGAGATATGGACTGTTCAAAATCGAGATTTTTCAATTTTAGGATTTTTTTGTATCGAAAATATTCATTATCGATCGAAACGGCTTACATGTCCCTATCTTATCTTTTGATTCACTATCCACTGACATTTTATTGAAACATATACAGGGTGATCAGAATTCTGAATCTTGAAGCACCCTGTATATTTTCCAATTAAATTCCAGTAGATAGTGAATCAAAAGTTAAGATAGGGACATGTGAGCCGTTTTGATCGATAATGAATAGTTTCGACACAAAAAAATCCTGAAATTGAAAAATCTCTATTTTGAACACCCTATATCTCTGTAATCATTCCTGCTAGACCCCAAGTGTGATGCATTGATGAAATCAGCTCCTCAGGAAGAATTTAAGAATGCAATAAAATACAGGGTGTTCTATTTGAAATAACAAAGTTGCTAGTTGTTTCTGATAGAAGTGGCAACACTGTATTGATTAAAATATTTTAGACGGATAAAGAATGTTCAATTATCGAAGCATCTCAATTTTCAGAATGTTCTGTCTTTTCGTTCTCCAGGTACTTCTAATAGGCCATCCACCGTGGATCACCCTGTATATAGTTTTCAAGATACAGGATGTCAATTAAAAAAAAAATTCGTTATTGTAAATATCATAAAATTCATTCACCCAGTTTTTTAGAAATTCAGCAGTGTTATTTTTTTTCAAAGAAGTATCTTATTTATATTCATTCATTCATGTTCAATTTAACATACAGTGTGACCCATTTAAGATGGAAGCACCCTTATAAAACTTACATTTTTCAACCGATTGGAATGATTTTTTTTTTGTTAGGTAGATATTCAAAAAGTCTATTACTGTCAACTAATCTGATTTTTCAAGGTCAAAAATCTAAAAAAATTACTAGCGATTTTTTCAGAAAAAATCTGACTACACCACTGGATTTGTGACATTTTCAAATGGGTAACATGTAGATTACGTTGAAATGCGTCAATCAATAAAAAAGTTATAAAGGAATGAAATTTGAAAAATATGCCGTTTAATCAACCCATCAATTTTTATTACTGAACAGATTTCGATGAAACTGTGATCAGTAATATTTCAAGACATCCTGAATCCAGTGGAGTATACAGAATTTTCATAAAATTCCTGAACATGAATTGGTGGGTTGATTAAACGGCATATTTTTCAAATTTCATTCCTTTATAACTTTTTTATTGATTGACGCATTTCAACGTAATTTACATGTTACCCATTTGAAAATGTCACAAATCCAGTGGTGTAGTCAGATTTTTTCTAAAAAAATCGCTAGTAATTTTTTTAGATTTTTGACCTTGAAAAATCAGATTGGTTGGCCCTGGAAATGGAGATTTATTCATGATATTTGGTGTCCTAATAGACTTTTTGAATATCTACCTAAAAAAAAAAAATCATTCCAATCGGTTGAAAAATGTAAGTTTTATAAGGGTGCTTCCATCTTAAATGGGTCACACTGTAGATATCAGCATACTATATCAATAATAATATACATTTTTTTATAATATCAACATGATCAAAAAAGTTGAAAACTTGTCCGTGATAATGTTATATTTTTTTTACTTCCACTGACTAACTAAAATTCATTTTCTCATTGAGTACAATCAACATAATAAACACATTTTTATAATATCTAAGAAATACTATAAAAACATGATATTATATGTTGTATAAGTATTTTTTCATATAATCAAATTTTCAAAACTTCTGAATTCTCAATCAACCATGAATTAAATGTTTTTCTTGAATCCAAAAAAACTAATTTTTTTTCAAAGAAGGTGGCAATTTATTGTAATTTTTTTTACCTATATGGATGGCATGTTGTTGCATTAAAGTTGAAGAGAATTTCTCAGTTGATATCCAACCATCAATTCCTAGTAATAATAATTTTAATGTGGAAAAAGTTTTGACACCCTGTATATCACTGTAACTGCATTTCCGGGACATGATGTTAATAAAAACTTTTCACCTCAAAATCACCAAGAAAAAAATATCACACCTCAAGTTTGCCCACCTACTTAATCAACACCCTGTATAAATTGAACATGAATCAATTGATTCACCTGAATCATAGCTATCGGACTGCGGTTCCCTGGGCGACAATTTGCATCCGCGTGTCAAATACGCTTTCAGCCGATCTTTGGCCGCCAAAATCAAGCCCAAAAATGGCGGAGAAGGATCCATAGGCCTAGAGAGATATTCGGGATGGTATTGGACGGCCACATAGTACGGATGATTTTGCAGTTCAAGAATTTCCATTCTTTTCTGTTCCACATCCACTCCTAAAAGAGGAAATTATTGGTCACCCTGTATGCAACTGCTGTTTTTGTACACTCAGTTTAGTCCTAGTGCAAAAGACAAAGTATTTCTGAGGAATTTTCATGAAAACTTTTCAGTTCCATCGACTATAAACATTTTCCGTGAACAATATGAATCACCCTGTATATTATGACGTACCTACGAAATGTAAACCGTTTTTCTCGTACTGCTCAATATATTCTGGATTCACTTCGTATCTATGCCTGTGTCTTTCATCAATTGTGTCTTTATTGCCATAGAGTCGTTCTGAAACACATGATTTTTTAGTAGTGTCCATATAAATAATGTCATAACAATTTCCGAGACATCATAAAAAAATATTTCTCAGTTAAATGAAAGCATCCTGAAAAAAAAAATCATTTATCAAGGGACAGAATTGAATGGACGTGAGATAATATAGAAAAAAAAAGCGTTTCCACTTGTCAGCAGACCGAGAATAGCTGATGAGGTCTTGGGGGCCGAAACAGTACTGTCTCACTCTTGGTGACAATTGGAGCAACTTGATTTACCCTAAATCTCTAGTTATGAGATCTAATTCATTGAATAGGACTGGTGGAGTTTTAGTCACATTATTGAAATATCTTTGGCACCGCCAAAAAGTGGATAAAATATAATATAAAATACATGGTGTTCTCAAAAGTTGCATAATAACGGAGATATTAGCAATTGAACACTTCGTACATTTTTATAAAATTTCATTACGATCCTGGCCGCACGAATCTGTGTTCGGTAATTACCGTTACCATCGAGATTAGAAGGCCAGCAGACTCTGACGTAAACAGCTAGTGACGTCACCTAAGAGAGGCCAGTGTTTTATGGCTAACGCGTCAGTTCGTGTTAATTCATGATCGGTGATTCACGTATGTTTTTGAAGCGGTCCCGAATTGTTTTGTTGTTTATTCATCAAAATAATTGGCGGAAAAATTACTGTTTTGTGGAATATTTTGTGTGTGGAATATTTTGTGTTGTGATAGGCGAAATAACAATGCCTTTCAAGTGTTGTGTTCCTTTTTGTCGGTGGAATTATGTGGGTGATCCAAAAGTTCATGCTTTTAGATTCCCGTTGGCGAGGAACTATCGAAAAAGTGGGTATATGCAATTCACCGCGAGGATTTTACTCCATCTAAGTACAGTAGTAAACAGCTTTATAATGATGAATTAATAATAGAAGACAAGTACTCTCTCATAAAAAGTATAAGTAGAGGAAAAAGAGAAAAGCTTTGATTGTGCAGTTAGTTTTATATTCGTATATTATATTCAACAAAATCATCTCTGAATTCGAGGAAATTTTCTTGAATGTTCATAATAAACGGGCATTTTCAACTCAATACATTCTCAAATTTCTTTCTGAATTCATTTCATTGATCAAATTGTCACTATCATATTAACATGTACTACAAACACTCTACTTAAAAAGGTAAAACTGCATATTTATCATGCGATGGTTTTTTTTTGGTACTTACGTATTTTTGTCTGGAAAACACGAATTTGATAATGAAAATGTGAACAATCTCCAAAAAACATATGAATATTTGTTGGAGATTTTGTCTATTTTGATGAGTTCTACATTCCGTTGAAATTATGCCTCACCTTTGAGAACATCCTGTATATATGATCAAAATTAACGTATTTTGAAGGAGAATGGAAATGGCGACTTCAGAGACGTTCTCATTTTTTTAGGAAGGTTTGGAGCCTATGTCGAAAATTCACGGAATTTCAAATGTATTTCGACGACATAAAAATAAAATTTAAATTTTAAATTCAAATTCACGATGACTATATCTGAAAATTGGTCGTCTAGAGCAGACCACAAAATTTGATTTTTATTCAAGTACCACCTAACTAAAACCCTATCTACATAACTCAATGGGGAAGACCACTGAGAGAAGAAATCCGTGCAAACCTCTTTCAATCGACGAATCATGATTTACGTTTGATGTACAATCAATATTATGAGTTTAAGTTGAAGGAAATCGAATCTATATCGTTTTGAAATCAGCATATTTCATTCGATATGTCAAACAGCCAAATATGATGGTGGAGTCGTGACGTATTAGTCCCGAACTGTAGCTATCTCTCTCGGATACCTCGTCATTCTGCAGTGTTACAGTGTGATTGGTCAGTTCAAGGACAATAGGCGTGTTGGGACTAGGACGTCGCACCAGTCACACCAATGAATTGACAAAATTTCAAATGGCGCAGGAATTGTGTGTTTTGAAATGGACATATTCTAATTTATTTTTTCCATCGTCTTAGCATGAATGACAAAATTCAAAATTAATTCGCCGGTAGTTTTTCAGTATATAGTTCACGATGATGTCATTTTAAAAAATCAGTCGTCTCCCCCATTAATTGTAATCCCCATGCTAAAATTTTAATCAAGAGATAAAATGAGATTCAAAAATAGTAAAAGCATTTTCATTTCTTTTTTTAAGATTCATAGGATAGCTAATTAGTAAGAAGGTTATATTTGAATATTTCCACATAATTTATGAATATCGGGTTCTGTGTCACTTTAAGTATGTTTGTATGTACCACGGTGAATAACAATATGGACCACCAGTGGTACATGTACCACAGGTAAAGGACATTATTCGTTTTTTCACTAAATTTCTTCCCACTCACTTATCTTACTGTTGACGGCACTATCTTTGAACACCGTCGTACGTTTGCCCAGCCTCATAGTACCCCCCATTTCCCCAGTATTGTGCTCGGGCATATCGACCACTACAGGGTGGGCAGTCTCTTCGCACACCTCAGTAGAATTGGCCGCGTCCAGCTTCAGCACACTCCTGCCGAACTCGATGACGGCCGCCTGGAAGCCCAAACAGATGCCCAGGAAGGGTTTGTCGTTGATGCGGCACCATTTGCACGCCTCGACCTTACCTTCCACACCGCGTTTACCGAACCCACCCGGTACCACCACGCAACTGAAAAAACGCAAATCGATCGAACAACTCCCTACCAGAACTCATTACAAGGTAATTCATCAAAATACAGGGTGTTTCATTACTAATTGGAAATATTTCAACCATAGAATCCCGAACACAAAATACAGGGTGTTTCACAGGTAAAGGGATGTTAAATCTCTTTCGTCGAATAATCAAAAATTGTCTGGTCTTAATTATACCTTTTATTTCGTCCCGTACAATCAGAACTCTGACGTCTTTCAAAATTATTATTTTTCACTACTCTCTTTTTTTTCTATCAAACCTCAATGACATATCCAAACTATATACAAAGCGTTCAACTAAAATATAACGAAGTAACATTCTCCCCCCCCGTGAGGGAGTTTAACTCGTCTCACTCTCTTGATCTCCTCGGGGGTCTTCTACATCGATTCTACAAAGCTTAGCCACTGGCCTTTTGTAGATTCCAGTAGAAGTTTTCACATCTGCGATGCGCACTCTTCCATCGAGTCCTGGGTAAATCTCTTGTACTTTTCCTAATTTCCAGGATTTCCTTGGTGCATTGTCTTCAACTATGATGACAATATCATCAACTTTAAGTGGTTTTCCGTCGTCAGTCCATTTCGTTCGTCTTGTCAATGTTGGGAGATACGCTTTGGTCCACCTTTTCCAAAAGCTTTCGACTACTTTTTGTGACTTCATCCATTCTCTTCTGTAGTCCACATTGTTCGGAAACTCCATCGTTCTATTGGAGGTTCCCAGTAGAAAATGATTTGGTGTCAGGGAATCAAAGTCGTTTGGATCCACAGATATCTTTGTCAGGGGTCTCGAATTAATGATGTTCTCGCACTCTGCGAATATGGTTTGGAGGAGTTCATCTTTCAGGACCTGTCCATTCAGTATAACATTGAATGTTGTCTTCACTGAACGTACCATTCTCTCCCAGGCACCCCCCATATGAGGTGATGCTGGTGGTATAAACTTCCAATGGATACCATTTTCTGTGAGAGTGTCAGCAATTTTCTCATGATCCAGTCCCTCCAATGTTCTCTTTAACTCTTCAGCTGCACCTCGAAAATTAGTACCATTATCCGAAATGATTTCCTTTGGTTGGCCTCTTCTGGATGCCATCCTTTTCACCGCCATAATAGCCGAATCGGTAGTTAACGAGTGTGCAACTTCCAGATGAACAGCTCGTATTGTCAGACATGTGAAAATGACGCCCCATCTTTTCTCACGTCTTCTTCCAATGTTTACCAGCAATGGTCCGAAATAGTCGACCCCTGTATATGTGAAGGGTCTCACTGAAGGTTTCAACCTTTCTACAGGTAGTTGTCCCATTACTGGTATAATTGGTTTCGACTTGTTTAGCCTGCATTTCCGACATTTTGCGAAAATCGATTTCACCACGCTCCTTCCATTTATCACCCAGTATTGTCTTCGTATTTCATTAAGAACAGTCTCCACACCTTGATGGGCGAATCTCTCATGGCAATCTTGTATTAGTAGATCAACCAGTCTATGTTTTTTAGGAAGAATGATTGGCCGTTTCGTACATGGTTCCATGTCTGGTGCAAGGTCAGTTCTACCACTGAGAATCAATATTCCTCGATCATCAATTGTTGGAGAAAGTTTCTTCAGACGACTGTGGTTCTTCAACAACTTATTCTTCAGGAGGCACTGTATTTCTTCATGAAAACAGTTTTCTTGGCATTTCTTAATCCACAGCAGTTTAGAATTGTCTATTTCCGTTGGTGTCAAACATTTTTGAAATTTGTCATTCAATTTTCTTACTCTGGAGATCATAGTCTTGGTGAATCTGAGAACCCAGGCAGTCGTTCTCAGAAGTCGGGACAATTTCGAAAACCTGTTGATATCTGGTAGATATGAAGTCTCTTCTACAGCTATCTCAACGAATTCAATGTCTTCATTTTCATCAATTACCTTGTCTTGATATTTTTTCGGCCAAAGCTCTCTATCATAAAGGAATGCGGGACCTTTGAACCATGTCTCGAAGTCGATTTTTTCGTCTGAATCATATGATCTGGTTGCGATATCTGCAGCATTCAATTTCGATGGAACCCAGTACCAATCGTTTACATTTGTGATCTCTTGAATTTCGCCGATTCGATGGGCTTCAAATTGTCCAAGTTTTCTAGCATCACCCTGTATCCAATAAAGAACGGTAGTCGAGTCAGTCCATAAATATAATCGGTCGATTCTTGTCTCCATGGTTTCTTTTATGGATTTGGCTAGTCGGCTTCCCATAACAGCGGCTTGAAGTTCTAGTCTAGGTATCGAGATTGGCTTCGTCGGAGCAACTCTAGCACGTGCCATAATGAGTGTTATATCCACTGCTTCGACGGTTAATGTCCTGAAGTAAGCCGCAGTAGCAAAGGCTTTTTTACTGGCGTCGCAGAACACGTGTAGCTCTAATTTTTCTGCTTCAGGAATTCTTGAAGAGTAGCATCGAGCAATGGAGAGATTTTCGATTTTTTCCAGATCATTTTTCCATAAGATCCAAGTTCGGTTCAAGTCTTCGTCTATGTGATCATCCCATCCAATACCAGATCGCCAGATATCCTGAATGAGGATTCGGGCTTCGATGGTGAAGTTCACAATGAGTCCAAGAGGGTCAAAAATGGACATAGCTGTCTTCAATACCTGTCTTTTTGTCGGTCTGTTGAGGTCATCGTCAGTTCCTCTCAGTTTTTCTAATTTGAAGCAGAATGTGTCCAATTTTGAATTCCACGAGAGTCCCAAAATTTGCTGAGTTTTGCTATCACAGTCCAGATTCAAATCTTTGTATATATCTTCATTCTGAGAGAGTCTTTCCATGAGATGCTTGCTGTTAGAAATCCAGTATGCTGCGTCAAACACCATACGGAATTTGCCAGGTTTCTTCGGATTGACAACTCCGAAATGGGGCAAATACCAGTTTCTGGGACCTTCCATTGCTGCTTCTTCGGAAGATAACTTCCGGGCGTATCCCTTCTCCACATAACTGGTGATTTTTTCGCAGTACCGAGCCTTGAATTCGTAGTTACGCTGCATTTGTCTTTCAATACATCTGAGACGTTGAATTGCTGTCGATTTACTCTCTGGTAGTTGTAAATTGTCTTCTTTCCACAATAGTCCTATTTCGAATCGATCATCAAGGCGTTTAGCTGTCTTTTCCATGATTTTCATCGCTCTGTTTTCATTTTTTGTGAGTAGATTAGGAAAAGGAATTGTTCCAAAGGCTGTTGCGAAAGATTGCTTTACCAACTCATGAAGATTTTCGTCTGATACCTCACTGTCACAAATGTGGAATGAATATAACTTGGACTCATTCACCATTGCCTTACCATGGAGAATCCATCCGAGCTTGGTCTTGGTAGCTATAGGAGATGTGAAGTCTTCATCATCCTGTACTACTTTCCTGGCGACTGTCAAGTGGATATTATCTTGTCCAAGTAATATCATAGGCTGTTCGTCGATTTCACTGAATGGGATTCCTCCAAGATATGGGTATCTTTCCCAGTCAGTCGTCCGAATGGTTTGAGTTGGTAGAGATAAGTTCTCAACACTCCTTACATTCCGCATGGGAAAGATTTTGGCATCCTTGTGAGCTCCAGATATTTCTAGGTTCACACAAATCGAATTCTCATGTCTAGAAGTCATATTATTCGTCCACTGCATGCATAAAGGTTGTGATTTCCCTTTTAGATGTAGCTTTTTGGTCAGGGCTTTGTCAATCAATGTAATACTCGAACCTTCATCACAAAGAGCAACAGTTTCGATCATTGTATTCTCCCCATAAAGTTTCACCTTAACCATTCGAAGAAGAACATTTCCAGAGCCATGTCCGATGGCAAGGATATTTTCCTGATGTTTCTGACTTGTACTGGGTGTCGAAAGGGAGTCGTCAGTATTTTGTTTTTCCGCAGGCTGAGGGTCTTTGTGGAGAATATGATGATGGTTTCGTCTGCAACCATTTATTCCACACTGTTGCTTGGATCGGCATCTGGTCGTTTGATGGTTGTTTCGAAGGCACGAAAAGCATAACTTGAGCTTTGTCACTACATCCCATCGTGTATCCACTTCGTCAGACTTCATTTTTGAACAATTTGTGATTAGATGTCCTCTAGATCTGCAGTATCTACAATATTCTACATTTTCTCCTTTGTCTGTTGAAACCAAGTTACTCTCATGTCTTTTTTGTAGTGGAAATGTCTGTTTAACTTTTGATTCAACCTTAGGATTTCTTGAAAAGTTCACGAGGCTTGCCGCGGATGCTTTCTCATTCATCCACACCGAAAAATCTTCTAGATTTGCTCGTATACTGCTGTGCATAATTTTCTCACCCCACTGTAGTTTCAAAGAATCAGGCAGTTTTTGAATCAGGTCTCGCAAAAGTTGAGGATTTTGGAGGTGTTCATAATATTCAAGAGACTTGATTGTTGCCACAAGACAGTTAAGATTGTTTGAAAACTGAATCAGTGAGTCCATATTATGTTCTCTGACGAATGGTAACATTTTTGTCTTGGTGATTAATCCATCAATAATTTGGTCTGGACGTCCGAAGCGCATTTGAAGGGTCTCCAATATCAAATCAATATTTGCCGAGGTGGTCAACATGCCTGAGACTGCCAGTCGAGCCTCACCTCGGAGACACTTTTGAAGTTTGATGATTTTTTCTTCTGGCGAATATTCACATAATGTGGAAATTCGTTTGAATTGGTTGATGAACGTGGGCCATTCCTCGGGGTTTCCATCAAAGTAACTGAAATCTTTTTCCACCACCTGCCTGGCTATGAATCTATCTTGTCTTGGCACGGAGGAAACTGATTTTATAGCTTCACTTATAGTTTCACAGAGCTGTCTGATTTCAGTGTTTCCACAATTATTTTGCATAATTTCTGTCCTCTTTATTTCTTGTTGACAACCGGAATTATTTTCAGGGATACTGTTTACCCATTGTATGGTATTTCTTTCACACTGGTCTTGAGGTAACCTGCTTTTCACTGATAAAGTTTCGT